AACTGAAGGCAATGGTACAGATAAAATACTTAACAACCTGCACAGGAACAATGCGGTGACTGAACTGTGCTTTAAAGTGGTTAACGGCCGTAAACCGACTATCACTAACACCTCTGCATATGAATAGAGGATATTTGTTTGTTTGTGTGTAAGATGAAATTTTATTTCATCGAGTGGGCTTTAAAAACAGTATTCTCACGAGTGGCGTAGCCACGAGTGAGAATACTGTTTTTAAAGTTCACGAGATGAAATAAAATTACATCTTACACAACAAACAGACAAATTTTCTTTTTATTTTATGCTTAAAAACAAGTTAAAACGAAATTTCCATAATTTTAACGTTAATATTAAAATCTGTTTCCCCCATTGAGAGCCCCATTTAGACGGAATTTCTCATTTAAAACAAGAAGTCTTGAGCTGAAAAAAAAGTCCGCCAATCAAGGTTAAATGACGGTGATATTTATTCATTTTATCAAAAAATATGAATGATCGCTTGTTTTAATAATAAAAAGAAACAAATCCTGTAGGAGAAAAAGTCCAACCATCCATCCATATTTCTGTTACTTACTGCGAATTTATATTAGACCTGGCTTTGTAAAATGTAAGCGGCAGCCATTTTTTAAAGTTGTGTATTTCATGGGAGGAAAATAATTGTGTAAGATTCAGAAGGATATGTTTAGGATTTGTTAGTCATACACCTTTTTAAAAGAAAGAAAACTTATTTGAGGATTGTAACAGACAAAAAATAACTGTTGACAGAAGTGAAAACATTCAGAAAAGGAGCTAGGAAATTGGAAAACTTGGAAGCTTGCTAAGGAACGCTGGGTATTTTTACTTATTTTACGAGTGATGGCTGTCAATGCTTTTCAATTTTTCATAAAGCATACGGCAGTTATTGCTCGTAGGATACTTTAATATGCCCAAATGTCATCAAGAGCAGTTTTGTATGGGGAAGGAATGTATTTTTCAGACTGTAAAAACGAAACAAAAACAAAAAATTAGAGACGAAATTTTGTGATTGGAATTTGAAGGAAAAGAAGTAAGTTTTCTCTCTTTACTACTTTTGACATTTAAGTTATTTATCTATTTCAGCTTTGCTATTTCTTTAAATAGCCTGACATTGTCAGAATTGTCAGTAAAAATAAAATTGAGGTACTACATGGGGAAAATCTTTAAAAAGTAGTTTCGTCATTGAAAAAAGTGAAATTATATTTTGATAATTTTCACTGTGAAATTATCAAATATAATTTTCACGGTTAAATCAGTAATCCACTGAAAAGCATAAAATAAAAGTATCTCTTATCTAGTTTGCCTAGTTTGGTATTTGAATAAAAACATGTTCTGGACATTGGAATGTATAAATTTAGTTCTCTTCTCTAATTTAAAAGTTATTTGATTACATAAAACACATTTTCAATCCGGTGGACATTGTCCAGTCTATGTGATGCTCCCTCTTTACTTTTAAGAAATGTAACATTCTAGTGAGAAATTATTGAAAACAACGTTGTTCAATGTACTAATAACTATTTCTAATTCTACGGGGTAAAGCTCATTTAAGTCTGCTCTTATATTTGGCGCCCGCGCCGAAGCGCGACGCCCTTATGGAATGAGAAAGGGCGATTGCGACTTCTCGAGGCTTTTCGTCGGCCATAATAGCCGAACATTCCGATTGGTATGAGTGTTTGATTAGCAAAAATGAAATGTCGCGATATTTAAAATGAATAGCGAACTGGATAATTTCGCAATGTAAACATATTCAAATGAAATTATCTTATCCGTCAATTAATCGCGCTGTTCGGTATTTTTATTAATCATTTTGTAGTACACAGTGGGGTATTATAATTTATTATTGCTTTACCTATAAATAGAATGACCTGAACATTGTGAAAGTCATAAGTAGTTTTAGTTTACCGAAACGGTCATTCGTGTCGGAACAAACTGGAGAATTTTGCAGGAAATGAAATGCAAACATATTAAAACAATTAATTGCAATCTTTAAGTAGGCAATTTTTACGAATTGTTTTATATACAGTATCGAACGCGCGTGGCAAAATGTAGAACGTTTGCGAATGGTAGATTCTCGTGTTTTCCCGATAAAACAACCTTTGAGGTTAAATGGAGTCAGGTTAAATGAGATAAAAGTTGTCGTGGCTATAAATAGTATCAAGACAATCGGCGTAGCCTGGCAGTGTTTGGAGAGGATGATCTATATAAAAATTAATTTACAGGTTATCACAAGCATAGAGTCTTCTCTGTATCGTGTTTACATGTTTATTATCATTATATTTTACATTCGTTAACTTTTTAAATTAGATCTATGTACATCTATATATATATAATATATATATATATATATATATATATATATATATATATATATATATATATATATATATATATATATATATATATAATATATATATATATATATATATATATATATATATATATATATATATATATATATTTATATAATGAGTTGATCACGAAAATTTAGGGTGTTTCTATCACATTTTGTTCGTATTTCGTTGTAACGTTACAACAATGATTATAATATAAATCCGATTATAAAGTAATTTCCGCAAGCGGCAAGGACACGATCAGATAGCATGCGTCTGGAGTACAAATCTCGTGCACACTACTTAATTATCACGCGCACATGTCTTAGTAACTCGTGTCCACGACATAATTAACTCGTTCCCACGACTTAGAACCTCGTGGCAAAGATATAGGATCTCCTGCCCACGACTTATTTACCTCATGCGCACGATTTAGTAGTTAGGGCCACGAAAATAGTAAGTCGGCGCACCACTTTAATTTATCTTGGGGCACGATTTAATTTTTTCCTCGGGGCCCCAGGGACTTTAGAAATTTTCCCTGTGCAAGCCCTTATTTACCCGGTCGTGCGCACAAACCTTAAAAACTCGTGGCCGAGACATAGTATTTCCTGCCCACGACTTATTTACCTCGTGCGCACGACTTAGAAACTCGTGGCCAAGACATATTATCTCCTGCCCACGACTTATTTACCTCATGCGCACGATTTAGTAATTCGTGGCCACGACATAGTAACTCGTGCTCACCAAATTATTCACCTCGTGCGCGCGACTTAGAAACTCGTTTCTCCTGCCCACGACTTATTTACCTCGTGTGCACGACTTAGAAACTCGTGGCCAAGAAATATTATCCCCTGCCAACTACTTATTTACCTCGTGCGCACGACTTAGTAACTCGTGGCCACGACATAGTAACTCGTGCGCACCACATAATTGTCTCGTGCGCACGACTTAGTTTCTCGTGGCCACGATATAGTATTTTAGATAAATAAAAACACGCATGCCACCCCTGTGCCGCCGTAATTGGCTGTTCAAACATTTTTTCCTTCATTTTCGCAAGCCAAAAACTGCAAATTAAAGGTATAAGCAGTTCATAATACATGCATACATTTAGTTCTGACATTTAATAAATCAGTATTTCTTTTAGGTGATACCGAGTTTCGAGTATTGTTCATTTGATTTGTTATTTCCATAACAATTAATATGATTATATTGTTATATTTCAATATCTTGGGTTAAAGTAACGTAATAGCTGGCTTCTTTCCAGTCTTACCACTAATGAGTCAGAACATGTTGGGGGGGGGGAGGGGTTGCGCCCCCAGGCATTTAGCGTGAGGTTCAATCATTAACAGCAAGAATTTCATAAATTTCAGGTAACAATTTTTTTTCTAAATCTGCACTTTTCTCCCTATGAAAACCCAAACTCGCGGTATGCGTTGACCATGGTCGTAACAAAATTATATATATAAGTTTTAAAAAAAGTAGAAATGTCAAAGAATATATACAGGGCAAGAAAAAAAGCACAAAAGTGAATTTTAAATGACTTTATTGTGGAATTATTAATATAGAAATATTAACGTAACATGCAAACTCTACTTTATGACATTTCGTAACAGTTTCTATTGTTTGCGGCAAAAACATGTGTTTTCGTAACCAAATAGTCTATTTAAACGGGTTAATTTAGAAAAATTGTTGCACTGTCGAGTAAGATTTTATCGTTTTCTTCTTTACTCGTATCTTTAACCCGACGACGACGTTCTGTAAAACCGATACATGATGGGGTCCCTGCAATGCTATATTGGCTAGAAATACACCTTTTTGCAAATAGGTAATACATTTTCTTATAGAATCATCCACCGTCGACAACCGCCCCTTGCAATCATTATTCCTCACTCTTTATCTCAGGAAACCCTGACATGATTTAGACATAAGGTTGGATATATGTACTTAAATAATTTAAAACCTAAGTGAGACACCTCTATAGAACCACGAACCTTCCATCAGCTACCGAAATAGTAGACTGTATCAGTGAGATTCATGTCCAAAATGGTGAAGGCCAAGACATTTGAAGTCAGAAATATAAGTGAGGCCCGGTAATAAAAGATAATACAGGTCCATCGTATTTTTCAACTTTTAACATAATTTGTGGTAATGTCATCACTTTATATAGAACCTGGCACCATGGTTTTCACTTTAGCAATATTATGTCGATTTTGGTCTGCATCCCTTCACATGAGCTAAAATATTTCAAGAAAACAAAACTTGAGTAAAAAGTACTTACTATAGCATGCATAGTTTCTAAGAAAGTAAAAAGATTCAAGATTAAAGTAATGATTTCTATGACATTATGAGCGATTTATAATCGATTTTGCAGTATTTTCCCCATATTTCTCCCGCTTTTCTAGCGCAGTAAGGTCTATTTTTTTCATATTTTGACCTCGTTTCAAAAATGGCAATTAACATGTGCTGTTTCTGCTGTTTGAAATGTAAAAATTATCTTTGTTCACTTCACAATATTTTACTTTTTAATACATTTTCAAAATATTTATAAAAAATTAACATGAATTTGGATGCGTGCTGCTTTAATATATCCTTAAACACAAAAAAATGCATTGCGCAATCGAGCAAATCAATTCAAGGGAGTTAACTTTGAAAATTGTATGCGCACCGGTCTCAAATATCGGTCAGTAAGACCGGTGTACACAATCACATGTTTGCTTTATTTATTGAGCGTTTATTCAACCAGTCGTGAACCTTTTTTACGAATATATGATAGCTCAGTGATTTTAAACCAGGATGTAAGCGTTTAACATGCATTAATGTAAATCGACTGTTGTCAAAAAGCGTATTTTTCGGTGACCTAAATATTTGTTTCGGATAGCGTCATTAACATATTTCCACTAACCTAACTGATGGATCCAATAATCGCGCGTCATAAATTATTACTAATAACAATTAAAGACGAGTTTGACACTGAAAGTATCGAATATGCTAGTTTTATAGAACACTTTAAAGGATACGTTCCTCGTGGTCAGCTTGCTGCAAAGAAGGATTTACTAGGTATATTTGATGCATTGGCGTCAAGAGGGCATTTGAGACCGGGGAAATATGATGTTTTAAAAAAGATCAGTGAGGATAGCAGCAACAATAACATAACTAAACTGATTGAAAAAGCAGAAGAAGATATAAGCCTACTTCGTAAAAGTTCAGGTAACTTTATACATGCATTTTTTCTAAAGCGAACAAATTCATGGAAAATAGTAAAACAATTGTACTTGTAGTAAATATACATGACATGAAGCAAGGTTAACTATAGCTTAAGGTCTTCAGTGTACCCGTTTATATACTATGACATTTTACGCCGCATCAGATCAAAACATCAAAACAAAAATTTTAAACAGCGGCTCATAACGTTTTGGAAGCCAGAACTAGGTTAACTATATACAAACATGTTTATCAGTGAGTCAGACGATAGATATCACGCCACTCAAGTACACCGGAATTTATCAAGACACTTGCTTCTATTTAACATAAATACGCTCGAAAAAACATATTAAATTATGTGACCTTGTACGTCGTCTCATTGGGGCTCTATTTCATAGTACTAAAATGCTTAAAATATAAACACGTTGCAACTCGTAGTAGAATAAATTACAGTCTCGCTTATATGGAGGCTATTCGTTGCCAAAATCCAGCCTTGTTGATCTTAGTTAAACAGTTTGTTTACGGACAAAATACAATTGTATTTCTTTGTATGTAAACTCCAATGATGCAATCTTGCATTGAGTTTGCCGATTAAACATTTTAAACATGAATTTCAACAAAATACATTAATTTTGTTAAACGACAAAACATTAACTGTTTTGCTGATAGTAGCAAAACCAAGTGTTCATCTTAACATGCGGAATACTCATTGTTCGTGTATACGCCGACAAAATAGAAGTTACTTTCTTAGCTTTACATTGTCGACCCATCATGATTCGGATCAGCATAATCCAGTTTACACGTTTTTCAAAAGGACATAAAATAAGCTCCGCCCATTTTCCCGCCCTCTACATCATCGTAAATAAACGTAATTACCCGCTCATTTTCGGTATTTACCGTCGGCGACAAGAAGGAAACAAGAACACGCACCGCGGCAGCGGCGTAGTTTCCGTTTACCACACCTTTTAGGTTTTTAGTTATACACCAAACATAAATCATCAAAACTTGCTGCTTGCATGATTGCCATTCTATGTCTTTATACAATCAACATCAGCGGACTTTAAAGGATTATAGGCATATAAGTTTTAAAACGTTGTAGATACCACATTTCTTAGATAAAAAAAAACTAAAAAAAATAATAATAAAACTCACAAGGTTACTTACTGCCTGAGGTAAATATTTTTCAAGGAAGAAAAGACTATTGATAAGACTATATTCAACGCAAAATAAATTTTACTGTGGGATTCCAGTTTGCATAGGAATGAGTACCATTTACAGTTAAGCTGGTACTTTACCACTTTCATATTTTCAAGTCAACATCTGATAGAGATTTTGATACAACTAAATACTGATACAGACCAAATTCTGGCTGTTGTCTTTCCTAGTAGTAGCATTTATACTATTACATTAGTAACCTTAATTCTAGCAAGAAAAAACTTTTAACAATAGTAAAATTAAAACCAAAGTTGTATGTACCCTTTCTTACATAACTTTATTTTTACCATACTGTATAGATATATTTTCCATTTTTCCATTTTGTTTTTAGCTCACCTGAACACGAAGTGGTCAATGTGAGGTATTATAATATAGTGATGGGGCTATGTCCGTCGTCCGTCGTAGTGCATTGTGCGTCGTTCGTCGTCAACAATTGGGTTGTTAACAGTCTAGCAGTCACAGTTTGTATTTGATCATTGTCAAACTTTGTCAGAATGTTTGTCTCAATGAAATACAGATCGAGTTGGAAGATGGGTTATCTCCGGTCAAAAACTAGGTCACAGGAGCTAAAAATAGAAAAAGCTTGTTATCACTCTAGTGGCTGCAGTTTTGATCAAAATATTCATGAAATTTGTCAGGAAGGTTGTTGTTATGATTTCAAAGTCAAGTTCAAAGATGGGTCATCTCCGGTCAAAAACTAGGTCACAGAAGCTAAAAATAGAAAAAGCTTGTTTAAACTTTAGTGGCTGCAGTTTTGATCGAAATATTCGTGAAATTTGTCAGGAAGGTTGTTTTGATGATTTCTAGGTCAAGTTCGAAGAGTGGTTATCTCCGGTCAAAATCTAGGTCACAGAAGCTAAAATAGAAAAAGCTTGTTAACACTCTAGTGGCTGCAGTTTTGATCCCAATATTCTGGAAATTTGTCAGGAAGGTTGTTTTGATGATTTCTAGGTCAAGTTCGAAGATTGATTATCTCCGATAAAAAAACTAGGTCACAGGAGCTAAAATAGAAAAAGCTTGGTGACACTCTAGTGGCTGCAGTTTTGATCCCAATATTCTGGAAATTTATCAGGAAGGTTGTTTTGATGATTTCTAGGTCAAGTTCGAAGATGGGTCATCTACGGTCAAAAAATAGGTCACATGAGCTAAAAAAAGAAAAAGCTTGTTAACACTCTAGTGGCTGCAGTTTTGGTCCAAATATTCTTGAAATTTATCAGGAAGGTTGTTTTGATAATTTCTAGGTCAAGTTCGAAGATGGGTCATCAACGGTCAAAAATTAGGTCACAGGAGCTAAAAATAGAAAAAGCTTGTTAACACTTCAGTGGCTGCAGTTTCGATCAAGATATTCTGGAATTTTGTCAGGAAGGTTGTTTTGATGATTTCTAGGTCAAGTTTCAAGATGGATCATCTCCGGTCAAAAACTAGGTCACAGGAGCTAAAAATAGAAAAAAGCTTGTTAACACTCTAGTGGCTGCAGTTTTGATACAAATATTCTAGAAATTTGTCACGAAGGTTGTTCTGATGATTTCTAGGTCAAGTTCGAAGATGGATCATCTACGGGCAAAAACTAGGTCACAGGAGCTAAAAATAGAAAATGCTTGTTAACACTCTAGTGGCTGCAGTTTTGATACAAATATTCTGGAAATTTGTCAGGAAGGTCGTTTTGATGATTTCTAGGTCAAATTCGAAGATGGATCATCTCCGGTCAAAAACTAGGTCACAGAAGATAAAAATAAAAAGATCTTTTTACACTCTAGTGGCTGCAGTTTTGATCCAAATATCCTGGAAATTTGTCAGGAAGGTTGTTTTGATGATTTCTAGGTCAGGTTTTAATATGGGTCGTCCCTAGTCAAAAAATAGGTCACATTGTCCTAATATGGAAAACCCTTTTAACACACATTTTTGACTCAATCGTCATCAAACTTGGCCAGGATGCTTGTCTAAGACATTGCTTGGATGCGGTTGATGGGTCAGGGGAGCGATCCAGGGCCATCCTGGCCCTCTTGTTTAATAATAATATTTAAAGTGACATAATGCACATATTTTCATAGTCAAGATGAGCTGAATTGACTTTTTATTTCAAAAGATTGACTGTTAAAATGGTGTTTGACCAACAGTTCATTTTGGAAAATTTTACAGATAATATCTACTTAAAATATAAAAAAAACTGCCCCACTCTTTTTATAAACTAATCGTTTCAGATTAAAAGGAATAATGTCAATATAAAAACTTATTTTGAATTTCACCTGTTCACTCACTGAATACCTTGATTGGCATAATGTCACTTAAATGAGTCCAAAGGTATGTATGTTGATTATCAAATTATGTATACCTTGTTTATTTTATCTCTAAGAAAACCATCACTTACAAAACTTAATAAATAGTCTTTGTAGTATTTCATGTACATAAAAATAATTCTCTGCTTTTGATCAGATAGACACCAGCTATTGACAGCATGTATACACAGATTTAGAGCTGTCACTTATTCAGAACAGTGCATAAAAGAAGACCTTAACCTACGCCAGCTTACATATATTTAATAATAAAAGGCTATATCACATCCTTTGACTCAAAATACCATCCCAATGGAGGTAAACAGAGATGCTAGGATACACTGAATATTTATTTCAACATTAAAATGGGACAAATTCACAAGTTTTTGGTACTATTTGCTGAAGCGTACAAGTACTACTGTGTATCGTTTGAAGGCACACAAACCCTATTGCTGACTACAAGTAGTGGTGTGTGTCATTATATAAGGGAAACAGTCCCTGATGTTAATTCACTAACTTTAGTTTTTGCATGTATAATTATGCTCATTATCAGTATAAACGTTGTTGCATTGTTACATTATACATTTATCTTAACCAATTTTGCATTACTTGAATATCCTGTACTAGAATACGTTTTAACAAAATTAGAGGATGTTCAAAGTCAACTGTAATGTAGTTGATGTATGTGAACATTATAACAGTTTCTATATACTAGTACATGTAATTTGAACTATTTTTATACCAGTAAGAGTTACCTCTCTTTATATTATTCTTTCGTAATAATTGGCTCCGCCTAATAATATTCGTCTATTTCCGTGATAATTCCATATATGGAAGTTGCAAAATCGTTTACAAATGTTAATCGCGTTAGAATGTAAAAGGAAAGTGTGGTGTTGTCAACCTGAGTGTGTCAAGTTTATGCAGCTACATTCTCAACGTCATGATGCATAGCATTTAACGTATTGTGTACGTTCTGTCGTTTACATTTCTACGTGTCGCAAATTTGAAGTTATACATTTATAAATACAGTTTGCAATTAATCTAAGTTGCATGTTTACAGCTTCCATTTTTTAAATCGAGATATACCAGTGCAGTATGTAACTCGGATCGACAATTAGATTTTTACTTATCTGTTTAGTGGAACCAAAGTATGCATTGTCAAGTTTCAAAGGCTGGATTTTTGGCAACGAATAGCCTCCTTACACTTAAATTATAAACACGTTGCAACTCGTAGTAGAATCTACAATTAGTTAGACTATTTATGAGCTTGTTTAACCAATAAAAGTTTAATCTTTTTTACACATATTCATTTATAATGGATCCCCGGATTGTGCAATGAAAGGGTTTGAAATCTCTCAAGAATGCCCTTCCTGGAACTAACAAGAACCAGTGTATTATGGGGAAAATTAACAATAGTTATGTAAAATTCATTTTTCATTACTCATTTCTCATATATTATAGATAATAATGGTCAGCAGGGCTCAAGCACCGGACCACCTAGGTCAAGACCGACAGGACGAGATGCTACAAACGGTACGGTATAAGACATTCATGCTGTCATTAGTATGCTTAATCATTAAAGTTTAATTTAGCACCTAAAACACACTTTTTTACGATGAAAATTACCATTTTTGGCGAGAGTTTTTTCACACAGTACAATCAAATGGGCAGACAGCAGTTCAAGCGTCGACAGCTGTAATACTATATACAGGTCGGCGAAGAAAACACAATTGACGGACGATAAGTATTCATCTATATTTAACATATCCAACTGTGTTCGAGTTAATCAATGTTATGGGTTTATAGTCAACATCCAATGAAGCATGCTAACTAATTTCTGGCCCTGTGCAAGCTTTACTTCACGTGAATTTTGACTGAAAATAACCACACTATCCGATGAAATGCGGCATTTTTATTTTTAAGTCACAAAAACTTACATTTTCTCATTATAATAAATCCTGTTATCATACGTGTCGTAAACGTAAACATTTCGTCATTAAATATTCCAAACCATACCGTTAAAAATGCCTTTCTCTTAAAGTTATAAGGTATTTAAGTTCGAGTGTCATCAAAATTTAAGTAACGTCATCAGCCGTTCGCCTCTTTTTAATGATAAAATTGACAACCATTCATCACCAGGAATGAATAACGCTGAAAGCCGTTCAAGGGAACAATTTTCAGCGCTTTTGTGCTACAGTAACTAGGAAAGATTGTTCATTTAAAATATTAATCTATTCATGATAATTTCTAATAGACCTCATGCTTACGAAATCCATCTAATCTTCAATAATTTCTAAATTTTCCACCATAATAAAATATTTATTTTACAGCTTCAAGTATGATTATAAGTTAGTAAGTTAATTAGTCATTAAGTAAGTAAGTTAATTAGTTAGTTCAGTCTTATAAATGAAGGCATCCATTAATTGTTATTATAAATAATGGCATACAGAAGACATGTTCCATGCAATGAATGGCTGTGTAACCCGAGATGTCTTGTTTGTGCGTGTGGACATGTCCGCTATATGCCATTATTTATAATAGCACTTGATGGATGCCTTCATTTTTAAGACTGAATATTTGAATTAAGCGTTAAAGTTGCCTTTACCTAATTTGAATTAAACATTTCAGAAACATATTTATAGATCTTGCTACCTTTTTCATATTGAAATACAGTGCGGTAAATGGAGATAAAAGGTCTCTCAGCTAAGATACAACAAATAAAAGCCCGTCAAGAGAACTCAGGAACACACTAACTAACCAACCAACCAACCAACCAACCAACCAACTAACTAACTAACTAACTAACTAACTAACTAATTAACTTACTTACTAACTAACTAACTAACTAACTAACTAATAATCATACTTAAATTGATTTACATACTGTGAAATAAATATTTTATTATGGTGGAAAATATAGAAATTATTGAAGAGTAGATGTATTTCGTAAGCATTAGGTCAATTAGAAAGTATCATGAATAAAGTAACATATTAAATGAACAAAGATGTTTTACTCTTTCTTAGTTACTGTAGAACAAAAGCGCTGAAAATTGTTCCCTTGAATGGCTTTCAGCGCAATTCATTCTAGGTGATGAATGGTTGTCGATGTTGATTTACTCGAGCACAGTTGGATATGTTAAATTTAGATGAATACTTACCGTCCGTCAATCGTGTTTTCTGCGCCGACATGTATATAGTGATACAGCTGTCGACGCTTGAACTGCTGTCTGCCCATTTGATTGTACGGTGTGTTTTTGCAGTATGTACACTAGTTTTCCGACGAACTCCGTAACAGTTATCACAAGAACTCCTTGACAAATTATCATTAGAACTTCATACCTCGTTTAACACTTCCTCCCCCGGGTTTTTTTTTAGCAAAATCGTTTGTTCATAAACAAAGGTTTTAGTTGTCAGTTTAAAGTAATGGATATACACATGTACAATGACAAAATACATTTGTTTATGGTCCGATGTTTTTTGGTAGAGTAATGCCCTTTGATGAAATTTTCAGTTTCCGTTCATTATCTCCCCAACAGTATTACACATTTGCCTAAAATTTGACATTTAAATACGTCAAAGGAATGCACAGGTCAAGTTCGAATTTGGTTATGGTTCGATGATTTTTGGCAGAGTAATGCCCCTTTCACCTTGAAAATAATATGAAATTTTCAGTTTCCGTTCATTATCTCCCCAATGTTATTACACCTTCAACTCAAACTTGACATATGGATACGTCAAAGGAATGCGCAGGTCAAGTTTGAATTTGGTCATGGTTCGATGATTTTTGGCAGTGTTATGCCCCTTTCACTTTAAAAATAATATGAAATTTTCAGTATCCGTTCATTATCTCCCCAAGGGCATTACACATGCAGCTCAAATTTGACACATTGATATGCCAAAGGAATGCGCTGGTCAAGTTCGAATTTGGTCATATTTCGATGATTTTTGGCAGTTATGCCCCTTTCACTTTGAAGAAAAAAAGAAATTTTCAGTATCCGTTCATTTTCTCCCCAACGGTATTACACATTCAACTTAAATTTGACATATGGATACGTCAAACGTATGCGCAGGTCGAGTTTGTTTGGTCATAGTTCGATGATTTTAATGCCCCTTTCACTTTGAAAATAATATGAAATTTTCAGTTTCCGTTCATTTTCTCTCAAACAGGTGTACATATTCAACTCAAATTTAAAATATGGATATGCCATAAGAATACACTGGTCAACTTCGAATTTGGTCATCGTTTGATGATAGCTGACAGAGTTATCCCTCTTGAACTTTGAAAAAAAAATCAGAAATTTTTAGTTTCCGTTCATCATGTTCATTATCTCCTCATTGGTTATACACATTAAACATTAATTTGACCTATTGATATATCTTAGGAATAAACAGTTCAAGTTTGAATTTGGTCGTGGTTCAATGATTTTGGACAAAGTCATCTCTCTTGAACGTTGGAAAATTTTTGAATTTTCAGTTTCAGCACTCATATTTTTTGTGGAAGTGTAAAACTATGTAGTCATTATCTCGGCTTCAAATATGCAATATGCAATTTTCAAAAGGTTAACACCGAATACTGTCAGTGCCTTTGTTAGCTCACCAGAGCCGAAGGCTCAGGGTGAGCTATTAGTATCAAAGAGGGATGCTCCGGCGTCCGTCGTCAGTTGTCATGCGTCAACAATCGTCTTTGAAACTACTAAGCAGATTTACTTCAAATTTGGTCTATAGCACCCTAGTGACAGTCACATTTGAATTTGCTCATGTCATTCCAATTGACCCCCTTTTTGGGGTCAGCAGAGCTAAAAATAGAAAAACCTTTAAACTTCTTCTTCTACAGAACTAATGGATGGATGATCACCAACTTTTGTCTGTAGCATTCTTGGGTAGTCCTTTATCAAGTTTGCTCATATTAATTTGATTGGCTCCTTTTAGGGGTCTCTAGGGCTAAAAATAGAAAAACCTTTAAACATATTCTTCTACAGAACTAATGGATGGATGATCACCAAACTTTGTCTGTAGCATTCTTGGGTAGTCTTTTATTAAGTTTGCTCATATGAATTTGATTGGCTCCTTTTAGGGGCTGCAAAAACTAAAAATAGAAAAACCTTTAAGCATCTATTTCTAGAGAACTAATTGATGGATGACCACCAAACTTTGTCTGTAGCATTTTTGGGTGGTCTGTTATCAAGTTTGCTAATATATTTTTGATTGGCTCCTTTTAAGGGTCTCTTGAGCTAAACATAGAAAAACATTTAAACTCTTCTCCTACAGAGCTAATTGATGGATGATCACCAAACTTTGTCTCTAGCATTCTTGGGAAGTGTTTTATTAAGTTTGCTCATATTATTTTGATTGGCCCCTTTTAGGGGTCTCTAGGGCATAAAATAGCAAAACCTTTAACATCTTTTCCTACAGAACTAATTGATGGATGATCACCAAACTTTGTCTGTAGCATTCATGGGTAGTGTTTTATCAAGTTTGCTCATATTAATTTGATTGGCCCTTTTTGGGGGCCACAAAAGCTAAAAAAAGAAATACCTGTAAATTTCTATTTCTACAGAACTAATTGATGGATGATTGTCTGTAGCATTCTCATGTAGTCTTTTATCAAGTTTGCTAATATTATAATGATTGGCCCCATTTAGCGGCCGCAAAAGCTAAAAATAGAAAAAACCTTTAAATGTCTTTTTCTAGAGAACTAATGGATGGATGATCACCAATTCTAGAGAACTAATGGATGGATGATCACCAAACTTTGTGTGAAGCATTGATGAGTAGACTTTTAACAAGTTTGCTCATATTATTTTGATTGGCCCCTTTTAGGGGCCGCTAAAATTTAAAATAGATATACATTTAAACGTCTATTGATACAGAACTAATTGATGGATGATCTCCAAACTTTGTCTGTAGCAGGATGATCTCCAAACTTTGTCTGTAGCATTCTTATGTAGTCTTTTGTTAAGTTTGCTCATATTAATTTGATTAGCCCCTTTTAAGTGCCGCTAAAATTAAATATAGAAATACGTTCAAACACCTTCCCCAACAGAACTTATTAATGGACGATCACCAAACTTTGTAGCATTTTGGTTATCTTTCATCAAGTTTGCTCTTTTTAATTTAATTGACCCCTTTAAGGGGACGCTAAAGCTAAAAATAGAAAAATCTTTAAACATCTTCTACATCAGAACCAATAGACATACCAACACTAAAAAGCAGTTGTTTCTCATGTGAGCGACTCAGGGCCATCATGGCCCTCTTGTATAAAAATGGCTTGTATTTACAAACAAAAGTTTAAAGGGCATTGAACTTAAAATGAAAAAGAAATAGTTTGTGCAAACAAATTTCAAATTTGGAACTAAATATTGTAACATCTGAAATTTTGGCCGCATGCGGGGACATCTATGGTGTGACGACACATTTCTAGTTAGAAAATGTTTTTTTTTTTTAAATCTTCTAAAAAAAAGACGTATTTAGGTAGTTCTATGGTTTTAGTTCGAGATTTATTATTAAGTGTAAGTTCCTGTCGAGGTCTCAAGAATTAATGATTTTACATTTTTATGTTTACAGATGGATCATCATCCAAACGTGCTCGACCAGGTTTGATAATTCAATATCAATAATACATTAGTACCTTATATTATTAGTACCTTATTTGTCGTATATTTGCTCCAAACAAAAATAAATGCTTGTCACATGTTTAGGGGTTAAAGTAATTACTGACAAACCAAACGAAAAATAAAACAATAAATCCATACAATCATCATATTCACATATTCGTATGCTAGCGTTTTTATCATAGAACGCAAATTAAATTAAAATGTTCCCTACGCGTTCTGGTAGTTTTTAAACAATTATTCTTTTGCATTTCCTTGCTTTTTATGTACCAAAAAGGGAAAATACATTGTATGACGTATCTGTGCTTGATCGGAAGACCAGACGTTGCTATATAAAGGGTTTTATTTCTTGCAATGATCTCCTATTTCACTTTCACCTAGATAGATAAACCTTTGCATGACCTTTTTATGCTCCCCAAAGGGAGAGCATACAGTCGCCGCTTTTTCCGCCTGTCCGTCTGCCCTTCTGTCCGTCCGTTGTCTTATCTGGAGCATAACTTGAAAACCATTTGAGATAATTTGTTTAAACTTCACACATTGGTAGAGAGCACTGAGGCGAAGTGTAGTGTCTCAAGGAACCATATCTTGCACCGTTTTTGAATTATCTCCCCTTTAAGAAAAATCTTAAACGATATCAACATGAAACGTTTTAGGTAGATATATCTTAATGGGGTAGATGTGCAGTGCACAAGAAACGTTACTCTGCCTTGGCTAATTTGGAGTTATTGCCCTTTGTTCATTTTTAAAATTTTAAACTTTTTCCGATACATAACTCGGAAACCATAAGAGGAATCAACAAGAATCTTAGAAGGTAGATAGAACCTTATTTATAAGAAGTCCAATGAAAAGAATAGTAACTCTGCCTTGCCTAATTCTGGAACTATCGCATTTTGAACTTTGTCCAGGGACATAACTCTGAAACTACAAGAGGTGTACTTTCCTGTGTCAAAAACCTATTTGTGGAGCATCACCCGGTTCACACCAGGCTCTTGTTAATTTATTTGCTTAATACTCAATATGGTATGAACTTATTTTGATTGCTCTATATAAGGTATATTACATATATCTTTTCACATTTTAAAATGATTTTTGATAATGACGTTTTTCTAAATACATTTCTAAATACACATTCTATAAGACAGGTCCCAAAACACGGCTAAATTAAAAAAAGTTTCCGACTCTGTTTCATTGAGTCTGTTCATTAATAAAGTTTAAAATTCTATTTTTTAAAATAAAAAAATTCACAATAAAATTGTCTGTTTTAGACTTAAACCAATTAGCCGAAGACTCCAACATTGATAATGACCAGGCCTCAGAAGAGTACGACTCTCTTGCACTTCCAGACTTTCATGTGATTACGGACTATCTTAATGCATTAAAAAATGGTAAAGAAGAAGACACAACAATAAGACTTATGATAATTGGATGCTTCGATCAAGGTAAAACCACGCTAGCCAGAAGGTTAATGTCGCATGACTTAGATGGAGTAGAAAGTACAAATGGCATAGATATTTATAACGTTACATGCCAACAGGATGAAAATGTATGGAACAGTGTAACCGAAGAAGATTCTTATGGACATAGTATGAAAAGACTGGCTCTGATAAGTATGACACAAACTGACGATTCAGAAATTGAAAATACTGACAATGAATTAGATGATGCAATTTCCACACCCACTCCTGGTTTTAAACCATTTTTGGCACGGTATGGGAGTTCATCAATTCCTTCAGGAGATTTCATGAAATTACCTCCAAGGCCAAACGACGACAGTCTATCACTTTTCCAGCAATTTAAACAAGAAATTAATAAAAGCAACACTATTGTGAAGACACAAAATATGTCCCTTTGGGATTTTGGTGGCCAATTTGTTTTTTACGCTACTCACCAGTTGTTTCATTCGAGAAATGCAGTTTATTTATTGGTATTTGATCTTCATAAAGACATTAACTCACCAGTTATTGATGAAGACTATCCAGGCGGTACGCATCCAGTTGTGAAGTCAATGAAAGATTACATCGAATTTTGGGTCACTTCAGTACACTCATATGTCGGCAACAAAGAGTGTACTCAACCACAAATTATTTTAGTTGGAACGCATAAAGATGAGCTCGAAGATGAAGAGAAAGCTGAAGACTATTTTGAATGTATCAGAGAAATGTTTGATGGTCGTCAAATAAGACATCATATATACCCTGAATGTTTTGCTATAGCAGGCAAAGATCTAACAGATGGTAAAGTTAATCGCCTTCGGGAAACAATTGTAGATATAGGGAGAAAGAAAAAGGAAATGCTACCTGCCAGCTGGCTGCTTCTTGAGTATGTATTACGGCAAAGACAAAATATTATAAAATTTGAGGAGGTGATGACATTGAATGAAGAGTCCGGGTCTCCGATTGGTTCAAAACATGAAATGAAATCATTTCTGAAATTCCATCATGCCAGAGGAACATTTATTTACTTTGATGAAGGCGAATTGGCTGAATTTGTTGTCCTGAAGCCTTCGTTCATAGTTGATGCTTTCAAATGCATCCTCACATCTGGTAAGTTTTGCAGAAAGGACACAGCTCTGCGACCTTTGTGGCAAAAGCTTACAACAAGGGCTATTTTAGACCCGGGTCTTTTGCAGTCTGTCTGGAGTAATGATGGCAATAAGGATTTCATTCAGTTTAAAGATGTTCTTCTGGCTATTTTGAAAAGACATAAGATCATTTCTGAGGCACTAAAGTTTAATGATAACACTGCGGAGTTGTCATCACTTGGCTACTACATAGTTCCTAGTTTCTTGAGAAAGGCGAAACAAGATGAAATAGAGACTTTCATTGGGAAAAGGCGTACCACCACAGTTTCACTAGTTTATATATTTGACAATGAAGCAGTTGTTACAACAGTATTTCAAAGAATTACAGGTGCAGCGGTTGGAAGCTGGTCAGTCCTTGAACTGAATGGAAGTAGTTTGCTTTTTGAAAATGCAGGTGTGTACAGGATTAATCAGAGGCATGCAGGTGTGATAACATATGCTGAAGATAAGTTAGAATTGTTGGTAGCTCCTATGTGCATCGAAGAAAACATACAAGCTGAAGTCGCCGATTTCTTTCGAAGATTTGTTGAAAACGTGATACAAAATGAATTTGTAAAGCTTCGGAGTGCTGAAGAAATTGATCAAATACCATTTAAAGTATCGGTTAGATGCCAACACTCTCTACATAATTGTAAGGGAAGCAAAGCATTTTATGATTTAGAAAATTTGAAGGAGCAGTCAGAGAAAAGAGTATGTTGTCCAGACAATGTCGCTCATGAAAGTATTGACATTGACCACATCTTACATGAATGGTATGGGCAAAATATAGTTGTTACATATGTACCAAAACGTACACTCACAAGACAAGAACATGCAGTACTGTCCACTGCTATTGGATCTGAATGGAGGATTCTTGGATCACTGCTAGGAGTCAATGAAATAACTCTGCAACAGATAGAACTTGACCACCAAACAACGTCTATGAGGATTTATGAGATGCTTGGATCGTGGGAAAAAGAAAAGGAGGAGAAGGCTACTTTGGATGTTTTTGTAAAAGAAATTAACAAACTTCCACCTAACACAGTCAGAATGGATGTGATAAGAAATCTGATAAATAATATTTACAAATAAAAGACATGTTTCTGCTTGAAAATCAAACTAAACATTTGCTCTTATGTATTGGACTGCTATGTGTTTTTTATGTATGTCACCAAGGTCGATCAAAAACTTTTCAAATTTGTATGTTTCTTGAATTGACAGTTGTTGACACATGGATTTACATATGAATACAATGATACTGGATGAAATGATTTAATAATAAGTATACAAAGTAAAATCTTTCAAAAAGTGTCCTTGTAAAATTTTGTTTTCATACTGACTAGCTAGCTATGTTTGTTATAGACTTATTGGACCGATTTTGGCTCTTTACATTAGATACATATGATCATGAACAAAGTTGGTTAATTTATTAAAACAACTATCAAGCTTCAATTAGCTTACACAAACAAATAATTCTTGAAATCAGTAGATTGTTTATTAAATTGAAAATGTCAGAAAAAGAACGGCCATAAAACATTTGCATGTGAAAAGCATATCGCTCAACTACATACATGAACAATCAAGAGCATAAATAATTACGGTCTTTTACTTTCTAGTACATAAAACTTGTTTAGCGCGGAGGAAGGTAGTCTAGTACTGGTGTTACTCTCCAGGAACGATGGTTAGGAAACTACCCTTTGTGTCAAAAATATCCTCTTATTTTGATGAACTTCGTATGTTCACACTAACGACAATATGAGCCGCGTCACGACAAAACCAACATAATGCGTTTGCGACCAGCATGGATCCAGACTAGCCTGCGCACCTGCGCAGTCTGATCAGGATCCATGCTGTTCGCTATCAGTTTACTACTTGTAATAGAGTTGGTAAGCGAACAGAATGGATCCTGATCAGACTGCGCGATGCGCAGGCTGGTCTGGATCCATGCTGGTCGCAAACCCACTATGTTGGTTTTGTCATGACGCAGCTCATATTGTTTTCACAAAATGTTCATATAAATTGACGACGATACAGTTGTATGCTACAGTGACAATTGAATATCCTATTAACTGCCGAAGTTCCGTCATTTATTTTTAAATAAACATGATTAAACGTAAATAAATAAGTTATAAGTCTTTCAATAAACAAATCAAACACGAACAAATAGTTGAACTTGAGTTGAACAATCGACGTCCTGTAAATATAAACTAGCTGGATAACTTGTTCACATGAAAGAGTCCAAAGCTTCTGTCGGAATTCGAACCAACATCGATGAGGGGCAAGTGGTTTGAAGTTAACAACCATCAACACTCTGCCACTGACGCCTCTTAATGAAGATATAATTACACGAAAAAGTGTATCGTTTGACATAATACATGTAAATTCATTGTTCTCAATTTTCTATCAAATATATTTGAGCCGCGTCACGACAAAACCAACATAGTGCGTTTGCGACCAGCATGGCTCCAAACCAGCCTGCGCATCCGCGCAGTCTGATCAGGTTCCATGCTGTTCGCTTACAAACTCTAACAAGTAGAGAAACCGATTGCGAACAGCATGGATCTTGACCAGACTGCGCGGAAGCGCAGACTGGTCTTGATCCATGCATGCTGGTCGCAAACCCATTTTGTTGGTTTTGTCGTGACGCAGCTCATTTTAAGGTCTTCGAAAGAACCATTTACAAATGTTGTTGATTCCTTTTTCTAATCCCGTGGCTATTTTGTTATACAATTTACATATGAATAGTAATAACTCTTAATAATATTACCCATTTTCCTTATTTATTTGTCCACTTGGTATCAATAAAATGAGCTTCCAAAAACAAGGTGACTCACTGGTATGGTTGTTGTGAGACCGTACAGTGATCACTGTAAAACCATGCTATGGGATGTTTCGTGGAAATGCAATATCTAAGCTTTTGATCTAGCATTTTTAAAAAGAAGTGCTGGTATCTTGTTTTACTCAGTATTGTAATGATAACCAACGTTTTCATGAAATTACGATATATTTGAACAAACAAACAACAACAGCAATAACAATGATATTATTTATTACTTCAATACATTTTACCTAAGAAACAAAATGAAATATGATGCATATTATGTATAATCTAAATTCAATAGAAAACAATAAGGTCTTCATGATTATGTAAATCATAAATATATCAATATTGAATAATGCATAGATAAATGTTTATTAAACACTGGACATTTTATAGTGTGATGTTAACTATGAAACATGTGAATCTGTCATCATGACAAAACCAACATAATGGGTCTGCGCAGTCTGATTAGGATCCATGCTGTTCGCTTACAAAGTCTATAACAAGTAGGAAAACTGATAGCGAACAGTATGGATCCTAATCAGACTGCGCGGATGCGCAGTCTGGTCGGGATCCATGCTGGTCGCAAACACATTATGTTGGTTTTGTCATAACGCGGCTCGTATGTATATCTGTCATAATGATGATCAAAAACAGAAAATCATTAATTTTATAAATAACAAGTTAAGTATCAAAATTTGCTATGAACAAATTAGTATAAAAGAATTGTAATATATACAAAAATGTACATGTAGTTTACATATCAACATATTATATACATAAAATCCGGAAAAGGGATACCCTTCGGAAGCACTGAAAAAAAAACAAAATGTATGAAATTGCAGACTGTTCATTGAGTCACTTCATGGGAGATAATGTATAAGTGCAGTGCACCTTTTAAAAGCGGTATTCATATTAACACTTATTATTATAGTGCCGAAATCAAATATCCCGAAGGAGCAGTAAAGTATAAAAAGTCCATAAAACACTGGACTTGTCAGTCTTATTCTTAACCCCAGTTAAAAAGCTCTGTGTGAAGAGCTTGCCTTTAAAGTATTGTAGTCAATGTATCTTCGGTTGCCTTAATTGTAGGTGACAGTCCTAGGATCGGTAACATTTCTGTGTCTTTCCTACAACAATTCTTTTTCCTTAAAAATGGTTTAATCTAGATTCAAATTTATCATATATCCATGAGCTCGAAAGTCATAATTGCTCTTTATTGAAGACATATATCATAAAGTCTAAAAAATACATAATGAATTATTATAACGGTACTTATATATTTCTCAAATACATTTTTATTTATTTTTATTTATTTTTATTGATTATTATTATTGTTATTACCATTATCATTTGAGAATTTCAAAAGGATCTCCCGAAGATCATTTTTGAGTATTTTTTAATTTGTTGCTAGTTTCATACATTAACTTAAACTTTAAAATATTGCTTTACAAAGTTTTCTTCTTATGCGAAAATAATTTAGAATTTTAACAAGAAATCACGATCAAATAATTCAATATTTCTAACCCAATTTTCTCTTGACGCTGAATCTTAAAATTATGCATTTACCCAGTCGTGGATAAAAAATATTTTACACAATGACAGAATCATGAACATTGCAGAACAGATACTTTATTAAGATTTGTACAATGCACATCATCTATAAAACAATAATATTTACAAACATTACGTCAATATAATGGTTATAACAATCATGACATTTTTTTTTCAAAATTCATAATCTATTAACAAGAACAAATAATTAATCAATGTATATACTACGAAATGAGAAGACATACGAAAAGGTGAATGAGCAATTATTTATAATTTTTAACGCTCAACATTTAACAGTGTGTTTCTCAAAGCAAGTGCTTCTTTAACAAATTCGGATAACTGAACTAATTCATATTTACTATTTGTCTTCAAAAATTTATAAACTGTCGGGCGTCTGACATACTTCATGTATTTTTTTCATTAGTCTGCAAAACAACAGCATATACAAATGAAATGAAATTCATCTTCAATGTCTGAGGTATTACAGCATAAACATTACCTTTCTTCTCTTTCTATTTCTAGAATATCTGCCAGTTTGTACTCTCAAAGACAAACTACTCATTCTTTATCTACAGAAATAAAATCTAAAACATCTTACTTATGACCTTCCTTTACGAAATCCCAACTGAGCTTCCGAAATAGTGTTATGTTCGTTACAAAATTTCTCAATTCGATTATTTATAACAGTAGTAAACAATTTTGACATACAACTAACAAGAGTAATACCTCTTCTCTACAATTATTAACGTCATCGTGACAACCTTTTTTTGTGTTAAGGGATTATAATACCCTCTGTCTATTTCTCGAGGAAATAACCCGAATCTAAAATACATGTACCATTAAATAAATCAAAGATATGAGCCGATGAAATATCTATACTTTCAATAAAATACTCGTTTAGTAAACAGTCGCATTGTTACGCTTTAGTGATTTTACAGCAGTTAAAATTTCACAAACTGTAATTGGCTGATCTAATTCTGGAAAAATTTCATTTGACTTCAAAAACTCATTTTTCTCGCAAAACCGATTAGCCTTCTAATTGCAACAAGCAAATAAGTCGTTACTTATATTAGAAAAATATTCTTTAAAATGTTCCACTGTTTTTGTTTTTTTTCCAAAATTGTTTAATGTCTTTTTAAAATATTTCCAAAAATCTCTAAGTTTACCTTTCTTTAAATTTTCTATCTCAGACATTTTCATTCTGTAATGTAAATTTTTCTTTTTTCTAACAATACTTTCATAAAATGACTTATTTTCACACAACCTAATTCTAAAATAATATGTTTTTGAAATATTAAACAACCTTAAAGATTCTACATGTTACGTGCATTTTGACATTGTATATCAAACCAATGCTAAACTTTTTTCTTCAAAATAATCATGGCATTTTATTATTGACTGAAAATTCTAATTTGTTAAAAGGAACAAAATTAACTTGCCAAATTTTAAGTTAAATAGAAAACATTAACGCAAGACCTTGACACTGAACCCAGTAAGAGGAACACAAAATGTATCAAAGACGTCAGTTAATGTATATCGGCTGTATCAAAGGTAAAAAACATCTGTTCTAGCACTGGTAACACTGACCTTGTGACACATAACCCCGACAAATGTACGAGAACCACCAAAGTTCTTTTCCTATTAGATATATGAACTACATCCGTAAATAAAGCAAAAGTGTGAAAATCGATTTTTGGCATCAGCTACTCTAACTATAAAACCAGTTTCCTCTAAACTCTACCTAAATTCAGAAGATTTTCAAAGATATGTATGTACAAAAAATGAAATCAGTCAATACACAAAGATTTTACAGCATTTTGAAAAGTGTAAATTCATTTTAGCACCAGTGCCCTTCACCAATTACCCCTAACTCCACCAAAAGTTAAATGACAACCCACATTTGTTCATATTACAAATAAATTTTAAAAAATCCGACCAATCCCGACCCTCCTTTTTATGTACCCTTAAAACACAGAATTTCGTCATAATTGCTTAAAGTATTCCACCATCAACATGAGAGGTTGTCCTTCACACTAGGCTCTGATACTTTCAAAAACTATATAAGCGCTTTAGTGTATAAACATAAAAGTAGTAAACGATATTTTTGTTTTCAATATCTCTTTGATCTTCAGAATATACTCTAATCTGTTATTGTCAGAGAAAGCAAAATGGACATTTCAGAAACGTGTTCATTAGAATTTGCAAACAATGTCTTTCAGTGAATGAAGTTGATTTGCTAAAAATAATTTAAACTAAAAATAATTTAAACTCTAATAAAATAATAAACTCATTACACACAATTTCTGATTATATGAAAATGAATAATGATAGTATACATCGCTTTTGCTTTATATACCTTTTGATCAATAATAAATATTGCCTTCCTTTATTTCCTTGTCTGTTTCTATCATTTCCTTATATGTATCACTAAAGTAGTTATCCCGTCCGTGTTTTGCCTTTTGCCCTGTCCTGTATTTGTTTTGGGTCCTGCTGGGCTCCTTGTTGGTGGTCCTGTGTTGCTGGATCGTTTGGGAGTTGCATACATTGAACGTCACAGCCCCCCCCCCCCCCCCTTGAGAGATCTGATCCTTTATATTTTGTGTTTATGTACAGTTACTAAGTTTATGAAGTCGATGACCAACGTTAATTATGGATTTTTTTTATCCATCTCCATGTTAGTATTGAATAAGTATATTCCTGATAAAATTGCCTTTAAGATTTTAAAACTGACAGGAATATCCTCTGTTCTGTTCAAGTGCCAGTGCCTTTAATTGTTCTGAAAAAGAACGCGTAATTCCCATCTTGATAGATACCGTCATAAATCACCGTGAAATTCTTCTCCGATGTTTTCACATGATTTTTTATCTCTTCAAATGTAGCTTCCGGTTTTATCTCACATCCTCTCATATATACTGCCACTGGACGTGCAAGCTTGTTTACGTCAGAAATGAGATTCTGTAAAACTGCACAAGACATTTTCATCTTCATCAAATAAACAAGTTCAATATTGCCCATGTGAGGTGACAGTGTTATTGTTCTCTCACCTAGATCAATCCTGGACATCCAAACTTCTTTCACATTCAGTAGCAATGGTATTGTTTGAAGCAATGCTTCTATGGCACTGGACGATGCAATATGGCCACACCAAAAAGATTGTAGTTTACTGGCTGTTGCGAGCTGATTCAGATAAGAAGACAGAACACAAGTTTCATGTATTTCACCTACATAACATTCATCTAACGCCACTATATTTATTTTTAATTGCGATAAAGGTATTTTGCTCAATGCTAAACATCTAAGATTTGAATGTCCAGCGAGGTCCATGATGAGTCCGCGACAAGAAGACTTGTGATCCATACAGTACAACCCAAACAGTCTTATATCTTTCATAGATTTCTTTCTGGCGAGGAAATCAAAAAATGTCTTCATTACCTCGTGAGACATAGTGAAGTTGTCTATATATAAACAGTCCAGATTTTGTAATTTGACCAGTATGTCATTCATCTTTGTAGACAGAACATAACCTTTGGAAAAAAACTTCGATTTTCTCCATTTACGTGATATCAATGATAAACACTTTAAAGAGCCTAAAACTATTTTCATCATCTCCTCTTCTACAATTTCACCTTTATACCATAATTTCTCAATTTTTTGGATGTCAGGGATTGCAAACATTTCGATAATGTTTTGTAAGCTACAAATGCCTCTGTTTTCTATACTTATTGATTTAATGTTTCCTTTATTTTGATGACACAAATTATTTAATCGTTTGACGTATTTTTCTTCTCGACAGTTTTCACTTATAAAGACATCTTGTAAACACAGTTTGAAGTCTTTATTTTCTAGGAACTCAAGGTCACAAGACATGTACATGCTTTGTATAGCCAGCAATGGATGTATGTATCTGTAATCATAACCTGCCATGGTTCTGTAAATCTTGGTTTCTTCATCACTGTTAATCACGTGCATTAGATCATATGAAATAACTGAAATCATACTTGGATTCATGCCACTAATAAATATCAACAGTGATGAAATATCCAGAACATGTTGTACACGTCTGCATTTTTCTACAATAGTTTTTTGACCATCATTTAAGGAATGAATACTTACATGAATTGCACAAAAGTATTCCTGTACAGTTTTATGGGGAAATGATATTTTAGTTTTTCTTTCTGTTAATGTTTTAGCTGTATTTTCAGTTAATTTTCAGTATCAAGCTCCTCGAAGCATTTGGGAAGAGTACATTGAGATTGTTCAAATGCTGTATTGAGATCTGATGAGTTATTCACTGTCCTCGTAAGAAGGAGTTCAATGATACTAGTATATACTTGACATTTCGACTCTCCAATCGGTTTACCGTCACACCACAGACTAATAATATACATCAGTATAAGTGGAACAGACTTTAGGTCATTCAAACCACGATCAAATATTACTTTATGTAATTTGCTCGTTTGACTCGCCAATTCGTCAGCATCTAGTCCTTTCTTCATCTTCTGAATACCATTCATTGTCAATGTCCTTGCGGATTCGTCATTTAATTGAATCAGCTCTATTATTTTGTCTGTTTGACTCTTTTTAAGGTTTACATATCCTAGCTTCCATGGTCGAGTCGTTGTCAAAATTACACAGTTTTCCCGAGCGTATCGATGAGGAATATTTTTTGGAAGTCTTTTACAATCGTCTCTTGGGTGTGTCCATTCATCAAGTCCATCTAGAATGATTAAGCATTTTTCCTTATCTAAAATTTCCTTAAAGAGATTCTCAGGAAGTGACGATGTACACGGGAGATTTCCTATAATTTGTTGGTCGATCATTATGTCAATATCACAGACATTTGCAGAATCCTTTAACAACACCAAAAATGCAAACTCAAATCCAGCTAAGGCTTTTAGCTCCTCTTCTTTAAACAAGCCGCATATTTCGCCTCCATCCTTTTGATGAGCTTGACACCACGCCGTAGCAAGATATTTTGAAAATGCCGTTTTCCCAAACCCAGCATCAGCAGATAAATATATTTCTCTTGCAATCTTGCTTCCCGACGAAAAGAGGTCTTCAAACGACTTAACTCTAGCTGTTTCCTTTTTTCTGGCGAATACGTCAGTCTGCATATGAATTTCTGGCATGACGTAAAAGCCAGCAAGAGGGGAATCGTATTCTTCAACCAGTGGAGAAAGAGGAACTGAACTATAATTCGTCTTGTACAATGCAATCAAATCATTTTTTAGTCCTGTCAAAAAGATACACACTTCATTTCAAAAAGATACACACTTCATTTAAAGCAAATGATAAACACATATTTGTGTAAAAACATTATGTAAAATATTTATATGTTTACATTTATAAATGAAAATTTCACAACTTTAATCTAATATTGAGCATTCACAACGCTAATATTTGATTCTACATGACAATCACGTTTTATATCCTGGAAATAGTATTTGAGTAGATGGGCCGTCAATGGAAAAATTCATTTAATTTACAGATCTGATGAATAAGGTATTTCTAAGGAACAAAGCTGTAGTTGAGAAATCGACGGAACATGCGATAATTTTATCCTTTCTGTACACTGCAGGACATAACGATTGTTTTTCAGTCGTGGAATGATATGACATATTCATCAAATTATACAACGTCGCGTTACTAAATTTTAGAGAAAAAAAAACAAACAACATTATTCTACGTAAAAAGAATCAAATTCAGGATTCAGAAGATATTCATTGAAAGCATCTTCAGCTTTATTTATCTAAATGTTAGAAAATTGAAACACACATAAACATATTTGCAATGCATTCTATGTGAAATTACTTACTTTGTCTATTGTCATATTGTTCCCCATTTTTATTACTCTGCAGTTGAAACATGTTCTGTGCTAAATCGGACAAGTCTTGTTTACCTTTTTCAGTTACCTCTCTAATAGAAGCTATAGCGTGTTTGGTTGTTTTAATAGTATCTAGCTTAATAATCTCATATAATTTCTTCAGGTCATCAATTTCAGTTCTAATTTTATCCAGATCTGCCGTTTCTGCTTCGCCAAGCGCTTTGTCTACATCACCTTTACTTATTTTCATTGAGTCATTTTCGAGCTATAAAAACATACATGATATCATTTCGACAATTATATTTCATTTCTTCACTTATAATGTGCATATAAACAAAAACGATTGACATCGAGTTATTTCAATTACTATAAATGTGTGCTTGTCAAGCCATCGTACCATTTAACAGTAAATTCATAAATGGTCAACAAACAATGCTAATTGTAGATCACTGTATTACAGATAAACATTATCTTATGTTTTTAACAACTTAATAATATTATAATGTTTTATTACAAAATATGAATTAGAAAATAGATAATTACATCAATGAGGTTTTGTTTGGCAATTTGTGCATGTTTGTCTGTAGCTAAATATTTGGAATCAGACAGTAGTTGACGTAACACTTTGAAGTATTGCTGAAGGTCCTTGTCCGTAACTTCTAATCTTGAAGAATGTCTTAAACGTCTACCAATTTCTCTTGCCTGTTAAAGATAGTATACAATGAAAATAAATATTTATTGTTGGAGTTATGACGGATAAAACTTTGATCCAAACACTTGACAAAATGATGCTTCAATAAAGTCTTTATATTCGACTTTTCCAGTCACACCTAAGATAAGGTAATCTGATGAGATGTCTAAAAGCAAATATTGAAACAAAAAGGAATAACATTAATAGAATCTGTCGTTGGGTACAATAGTGGCTAGAATTTCTCTAATATTATTTATCTAATAACATTTTTTGCGTAACTATATTATACCAAATTGAATAAAAATCAGCCAGCATATACCTAGAGTTTTTTGACATTTGCCTCTTGAGCCTTCACAACCGTGTAAAAGCATCTTGATCGGAACTTAAGGCGGGATGACAATTGTGTAGTAGACACATATCGGTATCAAAGTTTGCCAACAGGGGCAATGAGTTTGGCTCATTGATTCGATTAAAGTAAAATGAATCACAAACTATGTAAAGAAGCTTTGGATTGTGCAATATGATATTAAAACGTAATATAAATATAATCTCAGGTTAACAGGTACCGTAGTTAACAGTATTTCTTGTTGTGAATCCTCGAGACTACGTGGACACATTAGCATTAGTCCTTTTTTCTTTTCTTTTTTTGTCAACTAATAGGGGATTTTTTGTTTATTAAAAAAGTATAAAATATTCTATCGAAATACTGCTTCAGAAGGTCATTCTAAAACGTTTAACTTAAGGAGCTTTTTAAAAACGTTATCTTTCGTCAGCGCGTAGGGATACATGGCAAAGAATTGTCATGTGTCAAAAAAATAAGTAGATGTTGTAAGTTTTCACAAGATGTTTTACATGGTTATTTAAAAAAATTCTAAGTCTTTAACAACCCTCAATATTTCTATATATTATTATAAGTTATTTTACCGAGTAATCTATCTTGTTAGTTGCAAAGATATTTCTTCTGCTTTAATGGCAGTGTGAATATGCTATTTTATTGTTTCACCAGAAAACATCAACAGTCCCATCTATAACATTTTATACTGCTTAAGTTGCAGTTCTATACTTAATATAGTTCTGAAAACATTTTAGTTATTACATCAATTTTGCGATTGAATATTGTCAACTTATAATCGACAATTATGGTCTATCGAATTTTCATTAAAAATGTTCTTTACCTGTTCAAAGATATTGTTCCTGTCACTAAGCGTTGCATCCAATTTCAAAGAAAAGTCCTTGAAGTTAGAAATAATACTGATGATTCCGTTGAAATCTGTATCTGTTGGTGATACTTTATCTGCATACCCATCTGGGGGCATAAAGCATTTAGCTACCTCCCAGGGACTACTGCACCACTGAGTCGCATCCGTGTTTTTATACGAAGGTACGTAGTATCTATGCGCACATTTTATTTGAGTGTTGAATTTGTCACATATTTTATTGGGACAGCCAGCAGGATTATACTGTGTTTCCGAATTTCGATGATAACTGCAGTTTCCATGCCCAACATTACAAATTCTGTAAGTAGGGCACGTGATAATATTTTCTGTGGAGCAACTTGAACATACACTTCCATTAATAAGTTTATTGTTGTAGCATATATTATCTAAACATTCTAATTGAAATGCTTGAATTTCATTATACACAAAAGGTTCAATTCCTTCTTTGGTCAAAAGTACAGCTAACTGAGCTTTAAACCAATTATTGAATTCCTTCTTGTTCAGTTTCGGGCTATATGAAGCCATTGTTATAATGCCATTACTTATAGAATGAACAACAAACAGCCTATATCATGTATTCGATATTGTATCTGAAAATAAATATAAAATGAACATATGTACACTGCTTAAACAAAGGTACCATTCCAATCTTGAAGAAATATGATAATTGACAAGTTAATGATTACATTACATTGACATATCAGTTGAATGCTTTACATGATTAATATACAGTGTTCATTATATGTATACTACTCAACTTAAGCACCATATGTTTGAGTGTGATTTTTCGGATAATTTTATTGACGCCATGCGAAAAGATTTAAATGTTGACTTACTGTTGTTTTTCTTTCAATAAGGACGAATATAACCCTATGAATGAGTATTACTCTGATTTTGTGATAGAGAAGAGAATAACCCCCCTCTTTCAAGTTTGCAGGACATGCACTGTGTTTGTATGAACACATCTGCGGATGTTTCTAAATTCAAAATTTCACCATTTTCGTGTTAAATTTTGAATTCTGCTAGGGGACGTGGACTGTAACTTGCACTTTCCAGTACCATCCACGAACAGGCTCAATCAAACCGAGCCTACAACATTTTCAATTTTGTTGTGTTGGACTTTCTTTAGAGATTCTGTTTTTCATTATTTCCAAGTTTGATAAATTGTTTTTTTGTTGTTTTTTGTTGTTGTTTTTTTGTTGTTTTTTTGTTAGGTTTCTGATCATTCAAACAGGTAGGGCTGCCCATACCTAGACCAACATGGCTCCAAGCTCTGGAATGGTTCTAGGTTGCAGCTGACGAGCTGAAATTCTAACCTGTACCTTATTCAACATGTGTTCGATCTGATTTAAGTCAGGTGAGCGAGCTGGCCAGTCAATGCACTCAAAAGACTCCCTCTCTAGGTAATCCTAGACCACACTTGCCCTGTAGGGGCGAACATTATCGTCCATTAGAATATACTGATCGCCGACTGCTGCAGCATACAACCTAACCTGTAAAAGATGTCGTCCGGTCAATGTGCCTCAATTTAGTACAACCAGGTCGGTTTGTCCATAGCAGCTGATGCCTCCCCACACCATTTGATCCACCTCAGTAGCGGTCATGCCCAGCACCTCGTCTTCTCCAGACTCTAGCATACCTGACTGTGAAGTCTAGGCAAACTCTGCTCTCATCAGTGAACAGAACGTGTCTCTGATGTTGCATAGTTCACCGTGTATGCTCGATAGTCCATTCCAAACGGGAATCTGGCGATGTCGACGCGGCAAGAGGATTCGTATGCAAGGTCTGCTCGACCGCAAATTTCCATCATGCATCATTCTACGTACCGTCTGCGTGGAAACGCGGAACCTCGCAGCATTAGCAAGGGCATTTGAAAGAGAAGTTGCTGGCAAAAACCTTGCACAAAATGCCTGAAAAAGACGGTCCTGATCTGGTGTTGTGATCCTCTGCCGACCTCCAGCATGCCTCCTGGCGGGTGTACCATGTAGCTGGTATCTCTACTAGGCTCTGATGATGACGGTGTGGTGTACACCAATCGCCGCACCAACTTCAAAGAAGTTGACCCTCTGCTGCACCATCCATATAGAACTCCATAACTCTGCTTCTCTCAAATGCCGCCTTATGTTTGCATTCGCCATATCAAAGTAACAGATGTAAGAAATATAAGCCAATGAATGACAATAACCCGGTAATGTCGCCGTATAACAAAGGACATGTGATTATACACCTCTATAAAAAACATGAAAATATTTGTATGCATGCCTTTCATACTACATAGACGAGTTGTAACGGATTAATGTCAGGGACTATCTCAAAATATTTCTGAATCAGAATTTTCAAAAATTGGAAAGAAATCTGTTTTTACTTGTGATAATATAAAAAATAACTTATGGTGCTTAGCAAAAGTTGAGTAGTATATTAAAGATTTCTGTGTGTGTGTTTTTTGTACAAATAAAACAAAATATTACCTTGGAGCCACTTACAAACAAAAATAGAATCTTTAAAAAGAATACTTATATCTTGCATAATCCAGTGTTATATTTTGTACTTAAACTCATAAAACAGCTGCATCTTATATGAAGTACTGATTTTTACCATAGACATTTAACTTTATGAGTTAGTTATGTATTCCAACATTGAACCTGTCATCAAAAACATAAGGATTCCCATGTGAAGAGATAACCATGGAAAAAGTGAAAAAGATCAGCTAAACTACTGAATCAAATACAAATCCGATATGATAATTATCCGACCTTTAAATTTATTTAAGCTTTGCTACAGGAAAGTCTATAACTGATAACAAAACTTGGTTTATCAATAAATCAGGGCGCGTTGACGCGTTGCAACTTGGATATTGAAGTAAAGATACTTGTCCTTGGGCTGAATTTTGCCAACTACAAACAAGTCAATAACCTTCGTTTTTTTGTCAAAAGTCATTGAAAACATTGTTCTTCATGGGCGCATGTAATGTGTTTTTCCCGTAAACCAAATATGTATTGTGACGTTTCATTTAAAGACAGGTGTACGATACTAAAGCAGATGAAACAGTGCAGGGCATAAGGAAAACAGAAAATAGTTATTAACGGTATTGATAGCCATTGATTCGGTACCATAGTGGACGGTGGACAGCTTCACTGATGTGCTAGCTTATCTTTGGCAGTACTTGGTTGTGCAAACACGTGCTTGTGCAAACGAAGTTTCCTAGTACGTGTTTATTCAGCACTGTCATCAGTACTTTCAGTGGAAAGAATTATTTCCTAGGATACTCGCCTACGTCTCTCTTTATATTGGTATACGCTACACTATCCAACCAGATATTAAGCTTATAGTCTTAATCATAGAATCAAAAACAGTTTCTGTGCTCTATGCAGCCAACGAACTTGTTTAAAAACAGGAAAATTTGTATAAATCTGGCGATGAAATGTGTTAGAAATATTAATTGATTGTTCGGGTACTCTTTCAGACGATATACTTATTTATATTAAAAGTATAACACACACAGTCATGTGTCTGGCAATATAAAACTAAATATCCAAGTTAAATTACTTAATTCGCAATTGAACGTATTCTGCAACGCCACGTCTTCGAAAGGTTGCTTTATTGATACAAAAATTTCAGCGGTTCAATTTGAAGCTATAGTTGCACACTTACGGAATAAACCTCCAATGGACATTTCGTAAATCAGAAACAAATGTCACTCACAAACGGAAACTTAAAGCATTGTATTTGAGAGACATTTATGAATTATTCTAGGGTTTTTTAAGATGTAAAAAATACAGTGAAAACTAAATATCATGTGCACTTAATCCAAACATGTAATTAGATTAAAAAATTTTTTTTAATAATGACAATTCGTCTCGTATCGAGCACAAATAAAAATATTTAAAAGAGATTTGTAATTCGTCTTACTCCAAAAAATAATAGGAGTAAATGTTCAGGTATTCATTATGAAAATCGTTATATAAAACATAGCACAAGCACATTTAAGATCTAAGATTCTCTGTTTCAAATATTTGAATAAATTCTTTTAAATGTAGTGTGCAAATACCTAATTTAAGAAAAATCTTATTCAATGGTATTCAACAAAGAACATCTCAGATAAAATCATTTATTACAAACCTGTATGTGATCAACTCAAAAGGAACAAAGTGTCCTCTCAACAACGCCATTATTTACCATAATTATAAAGTATTATCTCACGCTTCTACACGTTTCTGTCTGACATTTGAAATCGCGATTAATTTTCAAGATCATCAAGAGTTTATCTAAAATACAAGTGTATTTAAGGGTTTTGTTTACTTTATCTATCCCAAAGACTTTTAAAATTTAAAAAAAGCAAATTGTATTACACATGTACGATAGCATGATTAGATTTTAAAAGTCGATGTAAAACACGCTGCAATTCGCATGACAGGTATGATAAGGTATGGCGTGGGTGATCAAACCAGGTACTTTTATGTCATTTTGAAATTAAAAGGGATATTAAGCGTCAGGCGTACAGTAAAATAATTGTGAAACTATTTTACTAACTACCTGCTTTTTATATTATTAACAAAGGGAGCTTTCCTGATGACGTTCTAGATTTCCGTAAGGTGTGAAATACAGAAAATAAGAATCCCTGAAGAAAGTCCAAAACGACAAATTTTAAAATGTCGCAAGCTCAGATTGACTAAGCCTGTACATGGACGGTAATTGCAAGTTACCGTCCTATCCCTAGAACCGGCTTAAGCAGAATTAAAGATTTTAACATGAAATAGTTAAGCTTTGAATCCAGAAACATCCGCAGATGTGTCCATGCGGTTATCATGGAATCTTTAATGTTACACCATTCTATTTCCATGAAAAACGGCGTATGGTCCCCAATTAAAAAAAGCGTGTACCCAATGGGTGGAACTAAACAAAATGGCAGGGGATCAGAGGCTATGAAGCCTGCAAGAAGTCACAAACGACAAAGTTAGGCCACATATCCTAACTGCGAATCAACATTATTCAAGTAGGAATACTGGAACCCAAAACCTAGAAAACAGTTAAAACTCAAGGTACCGAACACAACAAAAATATCGTGCTGAACGAGTTTTATGGATCAAAAATATAACATGTACGAGCGACTCTTTACAGTCTGTAAATTTTTTAAGGTAAACAGAAAAATATTGTTGATTATCCTGATCAAACATAAGCGCCGCGAGCATGTTCAAATTCAATAGGCTTTAGTATATTCAAGCACATGTATTGAGCTACTTGTGGGTTTATTTCTTTTCCCGATTTAAATTTTTTTAAGAGTAAATTATAAGACAAACACATGACAGAGTTCTCTTCGTAAATAAAAATAGGGACTTTAAGCTCTTTTATTTCTAAAATCAAGAATGTGTAACAGAAGGGAAGTTTCACAAGAAATGTGTGCTATTTCTAAACACTGAGGTATGGATCTGGACATTCAGGGCAAAAGTTTGATCAAAGGTAGATCTGCACATGCCAGTAACAATAAATGCATGAAAGGAATATGATGAACCAACTCCTTTGTAGGTGTCAACAAAAATACATTTGTATACTTGTTATCACTATTACAAAGCCACAAAATGTGAGAAATACAAAATCAATACAGGTACAGTGTATATTTTGTGCCTAGTTATCAATCAAGGTATGTGGGCAATTCACCAATAATATTTTATTTGCATGAGCCTGACTTTGCATCATACCACGTAACAGAATATTTTATACTTTGATCTCCAAGTGTGACATAATGACCATTGAGGTAGGGGTCTAGGTGTTGCGCATGACATGTTGTCTTATTATTGTTAACATTTGTGCCAATTCTTTTTTAATCCCTTGATTGAATAAAGTTCCATACTGCACACAAAATATACCCTAGAACAAATCATGTAAAGCTTTTGCACTCAAATGTGACCTTGACATTGAAGGTAGAAGTCTGGCTTTGCATATGACACCTCGTCCCATTATCGTGAAAATTTGTGTAATTTCAAAATCCCTTGAACATTCAACAATAACAAATATGGACTGCCTTCAAAATATACCCTACAAAAGACCATGTTATGCTTTGACCTCTAACTGAGACTTTGATCTTGGAGGAAGGCGACTGTCTTTTGCGCATGACACATCGTCTTATTATTGCAAACACCTGTGCCGAATAATTGTCAAAATCAATGGATCTATGAAGAAGTTTTGGATCTGACACAAAATATACCCTGTAACAGACTATGTTAATATTTGACCTCTAACTGTGATCTTGACCTCGGGGATAAGCGTTTGGTTTTTGTGCATGACACATCGTCTCATTTGTATTAACATTTCTGCCAAGTAGTTTTAAAATCCGTTCATGGATAAGAACGTTATGGACCAGATACGACATATACCCTCATATAGACAAAGTTGATCTTTAATCAACAAGTGTGACTTTGACCTTGGAGGTTGGGGACCGGTTATTGCGCATGGTACATCGTCTTAATTTATTATAAATAACAATGGTGCCAAGTAATTTCAAATGCCTTTGATAAATGACACAGTTATGGACCGGACACGAAAACGTGACGGATGGACAGACCCACGGAACTAATTTCTATAACCCCCTTTTTTCTTCGAAAAGGCGGAGGACAATAGGTGTAAATGTTCAGGAGTTTATTTTTATGAGATACAAACAATTTTCAAGCATAATATCTTTTCAGACGTTTTTTTTTAAAGTCTAACATTAAAAATGAATAATACTTTTACTACATATAGAAATAACTTCATTCAGATTTATTTTGTGTAGAACATGTGATAACAAACCATAAAGATTCATTGAATATGTCAAATAAACATAAATGTTCATATCTGGAATTAGGAAATATTCAGAAAACAAAACAACAATGTTTTATATGATTTATTTAACAGAATCAAAAATGAACGAATATTCCATAGAATTTCGTGTTTTGATAAACAAATTGATTTGTCACGTCTATATCAGCAAACAGAAGCATTAATCATGCTTATGTTGAAGCCCATAGGTAGTAACACGAAGCGAACGTTATCTCAAAACAAATAAATTACCCTCATTTTCTTTAGATAATGATGAATATGATTAACGAAGTTAGCAAATAGAATTAAATGTGCTGATATTACAGTTGCAGATATTAGACCATTTGAATGCAATAAAGAAAATTATCTTCAAGATATGTGCCTTGAACGTGTTGATCGTACAAACAATCTGACAAGTAGAATAAAACTGTTTTATCGATAAATGTTCATATATATTTATAGATTTTATTTTTAGTATTTTACGGTATTTTACAACACTCTCTCCTTCACCCTTTCTCTATTTCGGAATGGTTTTGGTACTATACAAATGATTTCAAAAACTCTAAGAGAAAGTAAGCGGCATATAGCTACAAAATTTGTAAGCTGCCCAGAACTAGGAAGGGGAAGAAAAGGCAAAAGAGGCACATTTATTGATATCTTTTTACAAAGCCTTCTTATCTTTAACAACAAATAATGACAAGATGTTTTGTTTTCTGAAAACCAACTAGATACGCACGACAACAACTTATGTACACCCATCATAAAATTACTAGAAATAATAAATTAATTATCCAATACCCGCAAACCAATATTAAAACTTACATGCTGAAATTTTGATATAAATAATTATAAAATGATAACTCAATAATTACAACAAAAGTATTTGCATTGAAGAAAGTAGAACAGGGAAAACATAGAAAAATAGATTTAAAGATCAGAGTTTCGTTTTGTATTTTTCCTTGTATAGAATAGATGAATACAGAATATGTTTATAGGCCTACATTGGCTGAATATGTATGATGCAGTATGTTCAAGAAATTTCGATTGTGAACTATTTTAACGGAATATTTCTTAAAGATTGTAAAATAGACGATGTTTTAAGCAGTATCTTTTACAATGAGGTTTTTTAATTGAATTATCTTATTTGTTGGTACCTATTGAAAACAAGAAGTATCTTTAAAAAGATACTGGGTCAAAGTCAAGCTTGTGAACTTGCATAGGATAAGCTACTACTAACCATGCTAACCGCAAACATAACATTTTATTCGTCCTCAATAGTTTCAGTTCATTTTTACCCGCTATGTTTCCTCCATTAAATGTCATCTTAGATTGAAACAATAATACTTACATTATTTGATTTTAATCAAAATGGAATTTGATTTTATTAGGAATTTATAATAAAACAAAGATTTAGTAGATACTGTACACTTATTCCACGGAGGATTTTGCAACTGTAAATTAGTGGAAAGTTCGTTTGGACCATCGTCTTATGCCCGGTTCGAGAAGAGAATATAATCACTAGAACAGCTTAGAAGAGAAACCCAATCGAACGCAAAAGTATCAAAAAGGCGATCTGTCAAATTTAATTTCATATAATTATTGAAAAGATGTTAGAAACATCTAGAAAATATCGTAATTGTGTTTTTATATTTTATTCTGACATAACTTTTTCCAACACTTCTTGCCATCGCGCAATCGAACAGACTTCTACCTATAACGGAAACTCTTTTAAAGTATCAATCGAACAGGCTATTTAAGAAATAATATATAACAAGAGCCCGGTTTGAGCCGGGTGATGCTCTCCGAATAGGTTTTGGACACAGGAAAGTACACATCTTGTAGTTTCAGAGTTATGTCCCTGGAAAAAGTTCAAAGTGCAATAATTCCAAAATAAGGAAAGGCAGAGTTACTGTTCTTTGCACTGCACTTCTAATCACTGTTATCTATCAACTTACAAAGTTTCTTGTTGAAATCTCTTATGGTTTCCGAGTTATGTTCCGGACAACTTCAAAAAGTAAAAATAAAGAAATGGCAATAACTCCAGAATTAGGCAAGGCAGAGTTATGATTCTCATGCACTGCACATCTACCCATTGAGATACATCTACCTACAAAGTTTCATGTTGATATCTCTTATAGTTTTACAGCTATGTCCAGTACAAGATTTTTCTAAAAGGGGGGATAATTAAAAAATGAGGCTGAACAGAGTTATGGTTCTTTTGCAATGCACTTCTACTCAATGAGATCTACCTACCTACAATGTTTCATCTTGATATCTCTTATAGTTTTAGAGTTATGTTCCGGACAAAGTTCAAAGTGTTGAAATTAACAAAGGGCAATTACTCCAAAATTAGGACAAAAAGAGTTATTGTTCTTATGCACTGCACATCTACCCATTGAGATCTATTCACCTACAAAGTTTATTGTTGATATCTCTTATAGTTTTAGAGTTATGCCCAGGACAAGATTTTTTATAAGGGGAGATAATTCAAAAACAGGGCAAAATAGAGTTATGGTTCTTTGACACTGCACTCCTCCTCAATGCCCTCTACCACTGTATGAAGTTTAAACAAATTATCTTCAAGGGTTTTCAAGTTATGCTCCGGACAAGAAAACGGACGGACAGACGGACAGACGGACGGACGGACAGACGACGGATAAGGTGCCGACTATATGCTCCCCCGAAATTTTTCGGGGAGCATAAAAACTGTGATTTTATTGCTCAATAACATCACTGTTTGGAGTTCGGATGCGGGGAATTATATCACGAGGGCGTAGCCCGAATGATATAATGATGAGCATCCGAACGACAAACAGTGATGTTATCAAGCAATAAAATCACCGATTTGGATATATTATTTCGATTCTAACACGACATCAACAAATAAATGCTGCCGTACATGATAATTAGCTAAATGGCGAATGATTTGTTTCCGTACTTATTGTCAGCGCGTCACATTTTTAGTGGTTACGTCACGTGTATAATGATTACGTCACATGTCTAAATATAGAACGTCAAACAGTGATTTTATAGCATAATAACACACACTTTCGGTTCTTCTATGTTCAATAGGAAAAAATGCGGGTCGTGTTAGAATAGTGTATAAATGACCAACGAAAAGTCTGCCTTTATTCATTTCTTTACTGTTAATTTTAGCGGAAGTCAATGTGAAATCAGACGGCCTTCGGCCGAAAAAAAAAATCTTAATATACAGAAAGTTTAAAATCTATGCTCATGAAATGTGGTATATGATCTCCAAGCGATACATTTTATAATGTAATTAATGGAAACTGTAACACTACCAAACAAGTTACATTTCTTGTTTTTCTTCTTACGAAGACAGCCAGGGTTTGAGAATTAGTACGTGGCGGTATTGCGATTAAACATGTTCCAGGTCATTCTTCGCCAATCAAACCGTTGTAATGCGCCAGCAGTGCGGGAACAGACAAATGCTAAAAACTTAAACCTGGCTCAAATGCACCGCTTTCCATGCCAAAACGGGTGTGCATTAGTACGCAGTTGACTTCTACTTACTTATAGGGTTTGGAGTTCAAGAAACGTATATTTTTGTTAATTTATTTAGTAGGTATTCAATTATATGTTTCGTTTGTCACTAATGATAGTTGATCAAAGTGATAATAGCGACCCAAATATAATAATAATAATAATTATAATAATAATTTTTTGACAGGTACTATATTATTTAGTCTTCATTAGTATTTGCTATTTCACTTAAAATTAAAAAAAAACTGTGGCTCACCTCAATTTTGCTGCTTTGTCTTGTACTTTCATCAACATTGATCCAATTAATTTGAACAGTTGTATATTTTACTTTCTTCATTAGAAATAACATTTAACAACTATTGCGTATCATCGCTTGATAAAATTTGTAGATCTTCGCAAAATATTTATGTTACCGATAACACTTTATATTACCAAAATAGATATCGACAAGATATAACGTGATGTTGTATGTTTAATTCATTATAAATCACTGATTACAGCCATGCAGGTATGGCAATACGCACAAGGCCGAATTGAAGTCCTACACTATATTATACGACCGAAAGTGTATGTAAATATGCAATAAAATCTACGTTTAATACTTCTGTTGCAATTATGCAAAGTGGCCTATTCCTAACTTTATCTGTTTTCAAGGATATCAAACTGTCTATCTCATATTATACAGTTCTTAGACTTCATGAAATATTAGAATATAAATCAACAAGGGAAGGCGCGACAAATGAACGCAACGCTTGAGTCTGTTCAAACATTTTGGGACATAAAATATAACAAAAGCGAAATCAATCTTTTAATAAGGAAAAATTACAAGTACGTGTATATATCCTTCCAAACAACTATACATAATGCAGAAGACATTGAAAAAAAATATTTGAAAATCGGCAAGGGTGCGAGCGGGCACATTCTGTTAATACGACTTCTCCTTTAGTATACATTTTTTTTCTATTCTTCGGCTTTTTATAGACAAATAAGAGATAAAATGTTAAGTCAAACCATTGACGCTACCAGGCGCTGTAGTCAAAATATTCCTTGCTGTTTCCAACACCTGATATACAATATCGAGGTTTAAACGTTGCCTGCGACATTTTGTTCGATTTTGGCATTAAATCTCGCGGATTTTTGAGATGCCCGCGACATTTTATGATAAAACGATAAAATTTCTCGTGGGTTTGAAATAAGGATATGGGATTAGCAAATGTATATATTTTTGCCTACGTGTTAACCTTTTAGAAAGTCATATTGAGATTTATCTATCATTCCGTACTGCTGCCGCCATTAGTCAAAAAGTATCAACGCCACGTTGATGATTCTTGGTATGTGAATAGAGAATCTTAAAGATATTGTAAAATAAAGAAAAACAAAATCCCTAATGAATGCCCAACATGGCAGAATTGAAAATGTGTCGGACTCAGTTTGATTGAGCATGTTCATGGACGGTAGTGGTAATTGCAAGTTTATATACCGTCCACGCCCCCTTAAACCGGATAAAGTAACATGAACTCATTTTATGCTCAAAAAAGTGTTTAATATCCTAATAGTTTTTCTTTTTCTCTTTTGTGTGAAAGCAAAGTTTTTAAATATTTAAATTTGTTAAGTGCCAGCAAAGCTACTGGCTTAGATGGTATACCTTCCCGTTTTGTCAGGGATGAGTCACCTATAATTGCAGATCCTATAACCCACATTGTCAACTTGTCTCTTATCCAAGGTGTAGTTCCTGATGATCTTAAGACTGCTAGAGTTGTCCCCCTTTTTAAAAAGAATGATAAACTTTCTGTTGGTAACTACAGGCCTGTGTCAATTTTCAATGTAGTCTCCAAGATACTTGGAAAGGCAGTTTAAGTTGAAACATATTTTAAAGAGAAAAAGCTGTTGTATAAATTCCAGTCTGGTTTTAGAAATGGTTTCACCACTGATACTTGTCTCATTTACATGACAGACTACATTAGGCATGAAATTGATAAGGGTAATCTGGTAGGTATGGCTCTTTGAGACTTACAGAAAGCCTTTGACACTGTTGACCATTCCATTCTCTTAATGAAGCTCTAAGCGTCTGATCTTGGTGATGACATCATAAGGTAGTTTAGGTCATATCATTCTGAGAGACAACAGCTTGCTGATGTGTCAGGAGGTTTTTTTCTTCTCATCAAGTATAACATGTGGTGTTCCCCAGGGTTAAATCCTCACACCGTACAATCAAATGGGCAGACACCTGTTCCAGCGTCCACAGCTGTACCAGTATATACATGTCGGCGCGGGGAATACAATTGACGTACGATAAGTATTCATCTATTTTTAACATATCCAAACTGTGTTCGAGTAAATCAATGTTATGGATTCATAGTCAACATCCAAAGAAGCATGCTAACAAATTTCTGGCCCTGTGAAAGCTTTACTTCACATGAATTTTGACTGAAAATAACCACACTATCCGATGAGATGCAGTATTTTTACTTTGAAGTCACAAAAACTTATATTTTCTCATGATAATTAATCCTTTTTTCATACGATTCGTAAACGTCAACATTTTGTCATTAAATATTCCAAACCATACTTTCAAAAAAGCTTTTCTGTTAAAGTTATAAGGTATTTAAGTTTGAGTGTCATCAAAATTTTAGTAACGTCATCAGCTGTTCGCCTTTTTTTAATGATAACATCGACAGCAATTCATAGGCAAGGATGAATAACGCTGAAAGCTGTTCAAAGAAACAATTTTCAGAGCTTGTGTCCTACAGTAACTAGGAAAAAGTAAAACTTTTTTTGTTCATAAAAAATATTACTTTATTCGTGATACTTTCTAATTATATTATTTTTATTATTACTTTCTATCATTTGTTGTATCTTAGCTGAAAGGCCGATATCTCCATTTACCGCACTGTATTTCAATATTGATATTGTTCATATGAATGAATGAGTGAGTGAATGAATGAATTAATTAATTAATTAATTGATTAATGAACGAACGAATGAACAAACGAACGAATGATGCAATATACGTATATGTTAAAACCAATTGTTTGTAGAAAGTATATGAGTTGTAATATTCTAAAAATTACATATTATACATTCATTTTTCTTCCTATGCATGTCCTGTTGTTGTTGTTGTTGTTGTTTTCTATTTCAGAAGGCCACATTGGAAATAAGATATATATGATTGTTATTGTATGTTATTAATGTATAACCTTCTTTAAATAAAGATATTATTATTGTTATTATTATTATTATTATTATTATTATTTTATTATATATAAAGGTAGCAAGATCTATTAATATGTTTCTGAAATGTTAAATTCAAAGAATGTAACGGCAAATTTAACGCTTAATACGAATACTCTGTATTATAACTAAATCCATCAAGTGCTATTATAAATAATGACATATAGTAGACATGTCCCATGCAGTAAATGGATGTGTAACCCGGGATGTCTGCCATATAAAATGATTTATTTAAAAAATAAAAATTTGAATAATTTTTAAGAATGGTTATTATTTCTATTGCACTATACATTAAAACAGATTTCAAGGATAAATAACAACATGTTTTTCCATGCACTTTCATATCTCGGGTTACACAGCAATTCACTGCATAGGACTTGTCCATTATATGAATTATTTATAATAACACTTGATGGATGCCTTCATTTACAAGACTGAATATTCATATTAAGCGTTAAATTTGCCTTTGCCTTTTGACTTAAACATTGCATAAACCTATTACAGGAACTCCACTGAGGTTTATAAGCCTAAAAACATGAAATTTTATTTTTTCATATAAAACAATGAGCACTGAAACATAAATATTCATAAAATATAACCAAGAAATATAGGAGAAATACATTGAAAATCATATGTTTGTGCTATTATCAGTCCAATTTTAGTGGAACGCGTTTAAACTCTTTTCAATTTTGGGTCATTTTTTCACTATTATAATATTCTGGAACAAGAGCTGTCGGTAGGACGGCAACGCTCGACTATTCTTAGTGCTTGATAGTAAAAAAATGCTTGATACAGTTACCTCCTCCTGTTTACATGTTGGGGTCATGATGGTGAACAAGTGTGCAAAGTTTCAAAGCCATATGTCTATGGACTTTGAAAATATTTGAGGTATTACAGAAACTTTAACATAAATTCTAAGTCAAAAAAGGGGCATAATTCTGTCAAAATGCTTGATAGAGTTACCTCCTCATGTCTACAGGTTGGGGTCATGATGGTGAACAAGTGTGCAAAGTTTCAAAGCCATATATCAATGGACTTTGAAAATATTTGAGGTATCACAAAAACTTTAACGTTAATTCTAAGTCGAAAAAGGGGCATAATTCTGTTAAAATGCTTGATACAGTTCCCTCCTCCTGTCTACAGGTTGGGGTCATGATTGTGAACAAGTGTGCAAAGTTTCAAAGTCATACGTCAATGGATTTTGAAAATATTTGAACTATTACAAAAACTTTAACATAAGTGGCTACGCCGACGCCGACGCAGACGCCGACGCCGACGCTCGGGTGACTACAATAGCTCTACTTATTCTTATCGAATAGTCGAGCTAAAACGGAGCAAGCTAATGATCGGAAATTTTGCATATAAGTTATTAGTATAGATCTACATCAAATGGAGAAATAATCTCAAAAAATTATTTCGAGTCCCATTATGTCAAAAAACCTTAGTGGAGTCCCTTTAATAGGTTTTGCTACCGTTTTATATTGAAATACAGTGAGGTAAATGGAGATCAAGGTCTCTAACCTAAGATGTAACAAATAATAGAAAGTAATAATAAAAATAATATAATTAGAAAGTATCATGAATAAAGTAATATTCTAAATTAACAAAAAAGTTTAACGCTTTCCTAGTTACTGTAGGACAAAAGCGCTGTTGTACATACATGTAATTGGCGTCCGCGCCGAAGCGCGGCGCTCTTATGGAATGAGATCAGATTTTGTGAAAGGGCGACAGCAACTTCTCGAGCCTTTTAGTCGGTCATAATAAAAGCCGAAAATTCCGATCGGTATGAGGGTGCTTGATTATTAAATAAGAATGAAATGTCGCGATATGTTACAATGAATTTTCGCAATGCAAACATTTACAAATGAAATAACCTTTTCCGTCAATAAATCGCGCTCTTCGGGGTTTTTTATTTATCATTTTGTAGTACACAGTCGGTTATCATGTCATGGTATGTTATTGTTGTACATGTATCCTAGAATGATCAGTTGATGACCTAAATATTCCAAAATATATCTTTTTATCACTCCTATCGGTAAATGCCGGTCTCTCCCGGTCTATTTTGACCAGGATTTACTAGTGACCGGCGAATAGTACCACACGTTATATTGTCCGGTCTCTCCCGGTTTTGGAGTAGATGTTTGATATCGTTACAATTAGAAAAAAACAACAATAGCATGTTTCATTTTATCTATATGAGATAAAAACAATAAATATGTACACGGATTTATATGTAATATAAATCCGTGATATGTACAATAATTGAGAAAAAGGTACATTTTTTATGGTATTAAAATGACATTATCAACTTTGAAACATTTTATTTAATTATTCAATTTGTTATCCGTGTTTAGTAAAGATGCCGAGGAATTATTCAAAGTTACAAATTAGATTTTATGAATTATTCAATTGATCGATAATTTAAAAAATGATAAAGAAAAATACAATGTACATGTACATGGTTTAAGAATAAACAATATTATATATTGAAAGATAAACCATAATTTACTGACTTTTTCCAGTTAAGCTTTGACTTATAATCGTCGGTCAATATGACAATTGAATTCTTAAAATTTATTTTACAATTTTAATAAAAAAGAGTAGTAAAAACTCAGTATTAAAATAGCACATAAACACAAAAAAGAATAAAAGAAAAGAATATTCATAAAATTTGTATTTTTTTTAAATTAAGATTAATAGATATTACAATTATTGTATAATAAACAATTATGCTCAACATGATCAACATGGTAATATAACCAGTGTCATATTTTTACTAACTTAAAGTGTGAACAGATACCTTAAGGGGGTCTTCGCTAATAGCGATAACATGTACATAATAAGGGACAAATGTGTGGTACGTGTTGATCATGCGTTACACATATGGATTATAAATGATTGCATACATGTATATCCGTTGCTATTAATAACCACGATCATAAAGAAATAACAAGTAATATTCTAATCTCTAGCATGCCAATCAAAGTTCATAATGAACAATGTCTTTCGTCCGCTCATTCATAAGTGGTATACATTTCTGGTAGTTTATAAGAATATCTTGTCATCATATGTGTACTAGTTCATCTTCACTTGCTGCATTTCTTGCTTGGACGCCCTTTGATGCTTTGCATCAATGCTTTTCTTGTTGTTTCTTTGAACAGCTTCAGCGTTATTCGTTCTTGCCGAATTGGGAATTATACCTGGGAAAGGGTTCGGGACGACCAAGTGACCTACCTGTTTCACATCATGTTGTTGTGTCTATAGCCCAACCTTTACTATCATATACATGGACAATTTTTTCAGTTCCCCTGAACTTTTCAAAGATCTTGCTGACAATCAGATGGGGGCTTGTGGGACACTGCGTGCAAATAGACAGGGGGTACCCCTCACAATACGTAATGCGAAACCGAAAGTAGGAAACCCACCGATCACAGAGACTGATGGTGAAATTCGATACATATCATGGTTTGATAAAAAAAGTTGTGGATCTGATAACCACTGTTCATTCAGCAGAAACCTTCAAGAAACAGGTTAGATCAAAAAAAGGTAGTGATCATGTGAGAGAAGTTGACAAGCCATGCACAGTGCAAGCATATTCTCAACACATGGGCGGGATTGACCGTGCCGATAAGGCCATGACTTTCTATATGGTAAAACACAGATGTTGTAAGTGGTGGAAAAACGTGTTTTTCTACTTGCTAGAGATTAGTTTCTGCAATGCTCTTATAATTTGGAGAGCACAGTCTAGGAAAAGAATCAATGCTGAAATGTTTCGTTTGAAAATTGTACGCGGCATGCTCAGACACTATGAAAGTACCAAGTGAACTTTCAAAATTTGGTAACCATGGTCGTGAGAAATCAGGTCGTCTTACTGATGGGAATCACTTTATTGGACTCAACAGTGGCCTGTTGTCGGGTGGAAAGAGATCAAAACCAGACTGCTCAGTTTCTTCTGACAGAAAGCATAAACGTCACCAAACACAGTATATATGCAAACAGTGTGAGGAGCCTCTGTGTCCATATCCTTGCTTCGAAAGGTAGCACACACGTGAAGAATACCGTGTATTGTGTAAACAGGAACTGCACCAGTCATAGAACATTAATAAACTACAATAAACATGATAAAGGTGTTTGAATAATTGACAAACAATAATTTTTTTCAAGATTTTATTGCGTTTTATGTATAAAAATGGTTTAAATACAAAAAAATTAAACTTATAATGTTTTAAATTGTATACACAGTTTATATATGATTATATCTATATTGTGGCCAAATTTCATAAAAATTGGTAGATAAGTAGATATACCCATTTCAATAACCTAATACATGTTAAACCATTTTCTGGGAAAACCGCTAAAGTGGCAGCTTTAAACTGAGGTGTACTCAGCAGTAGTGTACTGTAGTGTATGCATCTATTTCCTGGGTAGAGTGCTAAAGGTTGATACACCATGGTCCCTGTGATAATAAATCGCAAAAATCCTTTAAACTGTGATAATTTTTTAATGTGATCATTTCTTAATATGCATTCACGTGGTTATTTCTTAGTGTGATACTGACATTTTTAAATGAATTACATTACATTTTAAATTGTGATAATTTTAAATGATATCCTTCATTAATATGTGATTTTTCTTAAGTGATGTTTTTTTTTCTTTTACGAAATACCTCTCTTTATCATGCCACCAAATGCTAAGGACACAATGGAAATAAGAGCTCCTTTTTGTGTTATCCTTGGGTTTGGGAACATGTCATGGTTTTCTGTTTTCCTCTATTTTATGGTCAAATCCGTGTTACTTGTGCCATGTGGTGGGCGTAAAATGTCACCCCGTTCATTAAATCAAAGATGTTATATTTTCGATCCTTGAAGATCGTTCAGCACGACATATTTGTTGTGTATACATGTTATTTGGTATTTTTAGTTTCTTCTATTTGGCCTATTTCAACTTGGGTGGTTCCAGTATTCCTACTTGAATACTGTATAATCACCCTAAGGATATGCTGCCTGCTTTTTAAATTGTCTTTTGACGTCTTATTTGTGATATGCAGGCTTCATATCCTCAGACCCCCTTTTAAAATTCCATTTTATTAAGTCCCGCCCATTGTTTTCTCATTTAGGGCACACACATTTTTGAATTAGGGACCAAACGCCGCTTTTCATGGAATGACACTACTGTGTCACATTGAAGGTTCCATGATAACCGCCATATGAACACATCTGCAGATGTTTCAAAATTCCAAAAATGACGTATAATGAAATTATCAATATCAATAACTGCGATGAAAACTATCTGGATTAAAACTAAGGGACAGATTTCTTCAAAAAATGGCGATAAAGCATTTCATGTACTTCCATGCCAAACCTGAACTCTTATGAAAGCGTTCTCAATTTAAGTCTTATATTAAATGTGCCACACACCCGTGGGCACTGGTTTTAGTTGTTTGAACAGATGTGTCATTCTTGATCTTGCACAAAAGGTGCATTATTTTGCTAGCAAAAGATAACATGCACACCGTTCGGACTGTTACCCTTAAAATGTTACACAATTGTAGACTTCCCTCTTTTTAAAATTTTACAGTGATTTTTTCTACAAAATATAACTGCTGATCTGCATCATCATCAACATCGTCATCATCATTATCTTTCCACAAAGATAGTAGGGAACGTACATGATACGAGGGATATACTATTCTCCGGTCCGGTCACTTCCGGTCCCCGGTCTCTTCCGACCGGGATTTGCTGGAGACTGGCAAAATTAATAGTGTCATGTTTACTGACCCGATCAGTGCCGGTCTTCTAATAATTATTTGTAAAAATGGGTCGATCTTTCTAGATGAAAAAGGGTGTTGATATAAGATCTATTATTTCTCAAATATAATGTATTTTGTTTCTAATTTATTGTTTTTTATAGATCGTATTTCTGTTGCTTTATTTATTCACTTTCTATGATATAAAATGAATTCTATAATATAATGGTACTTAGTTAACCACCCTACCTTTTTCAATTATCATGATTATTTACATGTACGTAGATGCAGAATTTCAAATGTGTATGATTTTGGTGATTTTTTTTGTTTGTTTGTTTGATTTTTGATGTTGTTGTATTGCATGGTACTAAGTCTTTGCTATCGACTCTATTTATTAGTCATATCTGGAGGTATTGCTCTAAACCCAGGCCCAGTAAAATTTCCATGTGGAAAATGTGCCAAACCTGTTGCCAAGAACCATCGAGCTATTTATTGTGAGGCATGTTATTACTGGTGGCATATCAAATGTGCAGGGATGTCTTCGGAAAAGTATAAAAGTCTGTCAAACAGCGAGGAACCATGGTTATGTGATCAATGTCTACTTTTTCATTTTACTGACTCTTACTTCGAAGAGAGTGATAGCAACCTATCAACCCAAAATTTGGAAAAGGAAGAAAACACACATTCTATTTTTGAAGAACTAAGATCTACAAGATCAAAACATATAAATAAATTTATCACAGCTCATCTAAATATAAACAGTATAAGAAACAAATTCTGTGAAATTCATGAACTACTGTTGGATAAATAGTTGACTTATTATTTATTTCTGAAACAAAATTAGATTCAACATTTCGTGATGGCTTATTTGATATTCCAGGTTATAAACTTCCAAAGAAGGGATCGTACATCTTTTGGCGGTGGTATTGCTGCATTTATACGAAGTGACATTCCAGCAAGACGAAGAAAGGATCTTGAACATGAACTAATCGAAAGTATATATCTTGAGGTAATCCTAAACAAAACAAAATGGATAATATCATGTGTCTACATACCACCAAATATATCTGACAGTCATTTTTTCAATTGTTTAACTACAAATGTTGATAAACTTATTATTATATAACTATGTATGACAATGTTATGTTACTTGGAGACTTTAATTATGATCTACTTCAAAAAGAGAAGGGAAAACCATTGATGGATTTTATTGAACTATTTGATTTTAAAAATCTAATACAATCTGCAACATGTTTTATGAAAAAATGTACTCCTTCCCTTTTGGATGTCATCTTAACTAACTCTAAGCCTCTTTGTATGAAAACATTGAATTTTGCATGCAACTGGTATTAGTGATTGTCATAATATGATAAGTACAGTGATAAATAACACCATTCCAAAAAATCAGAAAATTAAAATTAGTTATAGAAGCTTCAGAAATCTTGATATTAATTCACTTAATATTGATCTTTCTTCCATAGTAGTTCCTACACCTGATAGTATACAATGCTCTGAAGAAAATGTAAATAAAGTATATGAAACTTTTGAACAGGATATCCAAAAAAAATTTGACAAACATATTCCTATAAAACAGATGTATAGAAAATCTAAACAACTCCCATACATGAATAGAGAACTTAGAAAAGCAAAATATAACAAAAAATGTATTATAATAAATATTTAAAATGTAAAAATTCCAAAACATGGGAACAATATAGAAAAGCTATAAATCATGTAAATAAGATAAAGAAAAAGTCAATAAACAATTATTTTAATGAAAAGTGTATAGGAAGGTGCAAATCATCAGAATTCTGGGATACAATTAAACCATATTTATCAAATAAATGTACTCTAGAACAGCCAAAAATAATACTTAATGCAAATAATAATATTATATCAGACGACTCAGAAGTTGAAATTTTTAATAGCTTTTTCACAAATGTAGCAGAATCTATAGGGAAAGATTATGATTACAATGTAGAAAATCATCCTAGTATTGCTCAAATCAATGAAAGAAATTTTTTACAAGATGCCTTTAGCTTTGAACAAATATCACAAGGTAATATATCTAAACTTATAAATAATCTAAATGTTAAAAAGGCCACAGGGGCAGATAAAATTTCAGCCAAATTTGTTACACTAGGCAGACCATCACTAGTTGAACCGTTGACGAATCTAATTTACATCTCAATTAAATCACAAGTTTTTCCGACTAAATTAAAACAAGCACAAGTAAAACCACTTTTCAAAAAAAATGACGCTATGACCAAATCTAATTATAGACCAGTAAGTTAATTACCTATTCCATCTAAACTTTTTGAAAAGGTATTATTTGATCAGCTCTCTGCTTTTTTGATGATATATTTGACAATTATTTATGTGCTTTTAGGAAAGGCCATGGGTGTCAAACTACTCTGTTAAGACTGCTTGAGGACTGGAGACAGGCCCTGGATAACAATGAATATGTGGCAACAATTTTGATGGACTTATCTAAGGCATTTGATTGTCTGCCACATGACATTTTTTTAGATAAGCTAAAAGCATATGGCTTATCAGGCCCTGTCACCAACCTCATGCAGTCTTATCTGTCAAACAGGAAACGGCAAATAAAAATAGGCAATATTGTAAGTTCATGGGCTAATATATCCAAAGGTGTCCCTCAAGGATCAATCCTGGGCCCTCTACTGTTTAATATTTTCATAAATGACATATTTTTCTTCATAAAAAATGTACTTTATATAACTATGCAGATGACAATACCCTTTCTTTTCGGACTAAACATTTTGATGAACTAATATGTACCTTAGAACAAGAAAGTAACTATCTTATAAATTGGTTTCATTTTAATAAAATGCAAGCTAACCCTGATAAATTTCAAGCTATTGCTGTAGCGAAGAAAACTTTCACTAAATCCCCAGCTTTCAAAATTAATACTAGTGAAATAACATGTGACGAAATTGTAAAACTCCTTGGCATCGACATTGATCAACAATTAAATTTTAATTTTCACATAAGCAATATATGTAAAAAAGCGGCTAATCAGTTAAACATCCTCAAAAGAATAGGTCACAATTTAAATCAAACAAATAGGCTAACAATCTTTCATACTTTTATTTTGTCTAATTTTAATTTTTGTCCTATGGCATGGCATTTCTGTTCAGAAAATAATACTAACAAGATGGAAAAACTACAGGAAAGAGCACTCAGATTTGTCTATAATGATTTTAATTCAAGTTATGAAGATATGCTGATAAAAGTTAATATACCAACTCTAAAAATAAGAAGAATGAGGGCTATGGCCATTGAAACTTTAAAAAATTTTCATGATATGTCTCCTGCAGTTCTGTCTGACCTTATTGTCAAGAAAACTACTGGTATTAATTTTAAATATTCAAATATTTTGCAGATCCCGCAAGTAAGAACTACAGCTACTAGTAAAAAATCTTTCAGGTATGCTGCACCTGCTTTATGGAATACTCTACCCGAAAATTTTAGAAAATGTTCAAATTTTGCTCAGTTTAAAAAGTTAATTTCATCCTGGAATGGTAAACAGTGTAAATGTATTGCTTGCAGCTAACTTCTATATCTTGATTTACTCCACTTTTTATTTATTTTTCTAGGTATGAAAATTTTCTTTTGGGTCACATTTATCATTTAGCTTCTTCAGTTTTTTTTTTTTTTCTTGCTTGCTTTAAATGTGTTTTTGCTATGCTTCCCTGCTTATGTTAATATTATCATTTAGTTTCTAGATAGGATGTTGCTTTATTTTGTGATCTTTTGTTTTGATTTTGCTTTTTTGTTTTTGTTGTTTTTTGCTTATCTTTTCCAGCATGACTCAAGCTAGCTGTTAAATGAGTTCAACTAATGACTTACATGTTTAATACCTTCTGTCTTTGTGTAGTCTAATAACCCATAGTCTTTCATATTTAAATTATATATAAAAAATGTATGTTGTTTTTTGTTGTTGTTGTTTTTTTTTTTTTTTTTTTTTTTTTTTTAGTATTTTTCATTTATTTATTTATTTAAATAATTCATTAAATTTTTAATTGTTTACTCGGAATATCATTGAACTTTAAGTAAATTTTTAGATACTAGACATTGCTAGTGATGTAGATTTGAGTAAACTATCATTTTTAGTTTTTTAGCATATGATTCGTTTTTATAAATATATCTTAAAAGGTCTATTTTATGCATGTGATGTATATATATATATATCATGTCTAATCATTTTTTATTGTAGCTGTTTTATTATTGTTGATCTTATACTTTATGTTATTTACAGTCGGTTATAAAAGCTCCTAGAGCTTATGTTGTAATGTTGAAAACTTGCCGACTTGAAATAAAACTTATCTTATCTTATCTTATCTTATGTATATTGCTTTGTAATTATCAATTCCGTTATACGAATTATATATTACCACTAGCACGTTACGTCGCGATTTTATTCACAATTTTAAAATGATAATTATATAAAATGCTTGTATGATATTATATTATATGTATATGATATAGAGGATATTTGTTTAGTTCAGTGTAAGATTGGAATATATTTCACCGAGTGAGCACCAAAAGGTATATTTCACGAGTGGCGCTTTTGGTGTTCACAAGGTGAAATATACATGTATTTCGATCCTACACTAAACTAAACAAATTTTCTTTTTATTACATGCAAAGAAACGTTTTAAAAAGACATTAAACCTAATATTGAATGAAATGCGCGCCAAATAATAATACAACGTGACGTCATTTACGACGTCACGTCATTAAGTTGGTACCCAGTGCTGTGCACGCTAGTATTTCACTGAAACAACGTGAGGGGCTTAAATTCAAAACAGTGAAATTATCAAAGTGGTAATTTCACTGTTTCAAACAGTGAAATTACCAGTTTTATATCACTGATATATTTCTATAAACCACCGAAAAGCATGTAATAAATGTCATTATTTCGAATTGCTATTTGTGCATTATGTTGAAGTGTATATGATCTGTATTATGTACGTAAGGTGTCGGTCCAGTGAATTTTCGTATTATTTGTTCCATAGTTAATCAGTCACATTTGAAGCTTAATTCTGGATTCTACTGTCCTTGATTTTATCGATGAATTATATACTGTCTTCAACTTTAAACATCAACACTATCTAAGTCAAATGAGGCCCAAAATATAATAGGTTAGCCATCTACTATTTTCAGAAATCTTCATTCTGTTTTAACACTGTTTAAATTCACCACTTTGAAAACTCCTGACTGCTGGTGGGTAGTACATTTTTTAACCCTTCCGCCAACAATGAGTTCCTGGAGAATACACAAAAAACAACTTTTTATTTCATATAACACACAAAAACTACACACATGCAATAAATACACTTTAATTATGACCAATTTAACTAGAGATGACTTAAATTGGGCCACTTCAAAATTTTTAATAACTACTTTCTACAACGGGCTGATCTAATACAGTTCCGGGTTGAGAATTAATTATGATACTATTCGCCGGCTGTGACTAAAAAAAGGGTCTCTCTTATGGCGATCAATCGCTACAGTGATTGTGGGCCATAAACCGCTGGACACTAGAACACTAAATCTGTGTATTTTCTTCCTCGGTCCGCCTATCATACAGCTTATTACGGTACGTTTAAAAAGTATTGTAGAACTCTATCAAATGGAAAAAAAATCTTTAAAACATTACTGTACATATAAAGAACAGTAGTGATCGTAGCGAATGGTTGCCCGGCCAGACTTATTATCATAATTGGTATATAATTGCTTCTTATTGCCCTATGAAAATAAAATTGGCTAACGTCTCGGACTATATTAATTAATATTATCATATCAATATATACTTTTATTTTTTATGGCTACAAAACGAGCTGTACATCGCCTCTTGACAATAACCACGAATCATATTATGGTTCCATGTAAAAACTGAGATGACAATATATTGTCTCTTGCAGGTATATAGACACGTACACACAATGGCCTCATGAAGATACATTGATGGTAAAGGCCGAGCTTGTTTATATATCCCGCACAGGATTACATATGCTCTCTTGGAAAAATACCACATATTTACCCGCTACGCAAGAGTATTACGTCTCCTACAAAGCCACGTATGACCCCATGAAAAATTTTAAACGGTTGCATTTGTTTCTATTACTTAGCCACGTATGGCCCCGTGTAAAAAACTTAAATGCTGGCAGTTATATACTGTCTATTTGCTTGTGAACAGCAACATATGGCCCCGTGTTAAAACTGAAATAACTTTAGTAATAGGCTATATATTTCTCTTGCAGGTAGCCACGTATGGCCCCGTGTAAAAAACCTAAATTTCGGTAGTACTGGACTGTCTATTCGCCTGTGGACAGCCACATATGGCCCCGTGTAAAACTGAAACGACTTTAGTAATAGGCTGTATATTTATCTTGCAGGTAGCCACGTATGGCCCCGTGTCAAAAACTTAAATCTCGGAAGTAATAGACTGCCTATTCGCCCGTGGTCAGCCGCATATGGCCCCGTGTAAAAACTGAAACGACTTCAGTAAATAGGCTATATATTTCTCTTGCAGTAGCCACGTATGGCCCCGTGTAAAAAACCTAATCTCGGTAGCACTGGACTGTCTATTAGCCTGTGGACGGCCACATATGGCCCGTT